AATTGTTTTCTTGGTGACTATGGTCCCAGCTGCCTTGAGATCATTGACAAGATCCCCCCGTGTAGTTCTGGGCTGATTCTTCACCGTTCTTATGATCATTGCAACTCCACGAGGTGAGATCTTGCATCGAGCCCCAGGCTGAGGGAGATTGATAGTTATTTTGTGTTTCTTCCATTTGCGAATAATCGCACCAACTGTTGTCACCTTCTCACCAAGCTGCTTGGCAATGGTCTTGTAGCCCATTCCAGCCTTGTGTAGGTATACACTCTTGTCCCTGACATCCTTGGAGAGCTCTTTGGTCTTGGCCATAGTGGAGAGTCTGGAATCTGATTGATTGATTGCTTCTGTGGACAGGTGTATTTTATACAGGTAACAAGCTGAGATTAGGAGCACTCCTTTTAAGAGTGTGCTCCTAATCTCAGCTCGTTACCTGTATAAAAGACACCTGGGAGCCAGAAATCTTTCTGATTGAGAGGGGGTCAAATACGTATTTCCCTCATTAAAATGAAAATCAATTTATAAAATTTTTGACATGCGTTGTTCTGGATTTTGTTGTTGTTATTCTGTCTCTCACTGTTCAAATAAACCTACCATTAAAATTATAGACTGATAATTTCTTTGTCAGTGGGTAAACGTACAAAATCAGCAGGGGATCAATTACTTTCTTCCCTCACTGTATAGTGGCAGTGTGCGTGTTTATGTATATGCGTGGATAGGTGACATTATATAAATCACACCTGCTTCAATTAAATGTCTTGTAGAAGGAAATTGCCGTTCAAACAGCAAATTTGGAAAAGTGAATCTTGGAATGGATTGAAGATCTTGTATTTATCCATAACAAAAAATACTGGACGACACTCAAGCCTGAAAAGAGTGGGTAAATGGGGGGAAACTACTAGGGCCGTAAGTTTTTTTTACATTTACATGATGGGGAAGGGGGGGGCAGACAACATGACTTGTTTTTATGGGCATGATTCAGTTTATTCTGCTGTAGATTTGAACAAAAAAATAAAACAGGTGCTGTTTGAGTGCAGCCTGTCCCAGGAAATGCAAAAACCTTCTTTCACCGATGGTGCTGTGCATGCTGGACATCTGTGAAAAAGAGCTTCAAAGCTCATCGGATTTCTCCAGGGAAAAATAAAGGTTCTGATTCGGGATGATTCTGAAGTGACAGCAAAAGTGTGCGCGTGTCGCGCTTACTCAGGAAGTTATTGTTGTCACATCCTCCTCGTTTATTTGGAGCACGCGATGACGTTATGGAATTGTGGTAGCAATCGGCAGGCTTTGTCCGAGGATGAATAATTACGTTCTTACGAACAGCTTTAATTATGCGGTCGAGAAGAGAATCGTTGATCACGCAAGTCGTGCGACGCACATTTCTCGGTTTTAGTCTTGGTCTCGTTTTCTGTTGGAGAGTGACGAACAGAGCCACCGAGCGGCCCTCGACCTTCAAATGGGGATAAGTCAATGAAGATTTGTACAAAATCAACTGCACAACATCGTAGGCATATTATCTAAAGCACTCTAGTCTTATGTAACCAGTGTGGTTGTGTAACTAATAAATGGTGCATGTAGGCGCACTACAATATAATTAGTGGTTGTTAAACCTTGTGAATGTTGCTGGGTCACGGGTCACGAATACCTGTCAACCCATACGGTTTATACCTCGTATTCTTATACAGGGAAATTGAGTTAGCGCATCTGCCACTCAACCCATGGCACCTGGCCTGCCAGTGGGCCTTCGACACTTAATGTGGCCTAAAAGTGCATGGGGTGGTCACGCCACCGCCACTTGGTGGTTGAACGGCGACTGTGGGTTGTTGATAGTTGTGGGCGGCGTGCAGCGCGCGCCTCCCTGACTCGGCAAGCGTGGGAAAGGTAAAGGCGCAGCACTGCAAGGGTTCAAGTTTCAAAGTCGATTTTGTTCATTCCAGGTGAAAAACTCGAGTGACCTGGGTCACCAAAATGACAATACAACATAAGCAAAGTTCATATAATAACGTTCAAATAAAGTATAGAAACGGGGCAAATGGAAATCAGCGCAAAAATAAGTTGTGTCACGCAAGAGTTGGGAAATTGAGTTTTCAGGTCCATCCGGCATACAGCCGTTTCAATACGGACAACATTTTTTGGTCTACCTTGTGATGGGACTTTGTAGGATGAACGTTGAGATTTATAAGGGGCACGGGTGTGACCAACACGGTCTGAATTGGTCTGTAATAAGGTAGGCAGTGATAAGGGGTTGACAGGTTTGCGGGTGTTTTGGGTGGTACGTTAGGCTACAGCCCTTCGTCTACCTCTCAGAATAGGCAGGCACCTGATTCAATTGCCAGTCACGTGACCACTGTACGAGGTGAGCTGGCATAGAGATGTAGCTGAATTACTAAAATGTAATCCGTAGCCATCCTGTAAAATGAAATAACCAGTAACACATATTTATGCTGTTTAAAATATACTTGATAATAGCTTTACTACCTACCCGGGTTCGCCCGGGACTAGAATTCACGGCGTCCGGCCGCCTTTGTCTCCCCAGTGGCGATGTTCAAACACCACACCAGTTACTCGTTTGAGGCTGAGTTGACCTAGGGGGGGAGGCCCAGGACCGGTTCAAATAATAGTCACCGGTGGTGGCCGTGAGCGGGAATCGAACTCGGGTCGCCGGGTTAGTAGCGCAGCGCGCTAACCACTACACTACCGCTTCCCCCACACACAGACACGCGCTTGCTGCAGACACACACAACTTTCAGGGTGCGTACGGCAGTAAACGACTCAGATAATAAAGCAATGCTGCGCGAAGAACGCCTTAGACCTGCAACACCTTTGTATTTCACTTTACCCGTGGGGGGTTGAGGGGGGTGACATGAGCAGGCACACTGCGTGACGCTTCCACATACGGGTCACATGACAGATGTGACGTCACAGCTCACTTGCCGTGCAAAATAAATGCATTATTTCGCCCCCCCCCTAAAAAAAATACATACAAAAGTGTATTTTTATATTTTTTGCATGGTGTACACTCTGAAAAGTACCCACATGGCAAATTTGAAGTTTGTTGCATGTAGGGAAGCACGCTAAACATTTTGAATAGACACACATAATCACAAATTTCCCTTTTATATATATTTAGATTAGTGAACTTGCAGCAACAATAGTTAATTCTTGAATTTTAATGAGTATTTTGACATAAATCTAAATATGTCAAATTAATTCCCTAACGATTTTGAAGAGATGAGACGTGAAGTGACATCGTGGATGTCACTGTGTAATGCCGGCCCTAGAGAGGCACGGCGTGCGATGTATTGACCTCGCGGACACCACGTGGATGTGGGTGTAGTACCGGCCCTGGAGGGGCTCAGTGAGTGCTGATGGAGAGTGCTGAATGGCACCACGCTCGGCGTGCAGTGCCGACCCCTACAGGATGGGGTGTGAGAGTGTCAACCATGGAATGGGGTTACTATAGGCCATGGCACTCTGGTTGACCAGAGAGGACACGTGCTAGAGGATTCGAGAAGGTGGTCGTGGCCAAGGGCGGAGCCAGCCACGACCAGTGAGGATATAAGCCGGGTGCCCAGAGGGACCGGGGTTCAGCGTTGCTGTTGTCATCTTGAAGAATCTACGTTCGACGTCCGAGAAGTCACCAACACATGGACCTGGACCCAAGCTGGGGTCCTGTCCGTTGTAGCTACTCCCAGTGTAATTAGTGTAGTTAGCCTGGTGGTCCACCACCATAGGTTGTTATCTGGTGAAGGGGCAGTTACCCATTTTGTGTTGGTATCAATGGATGTGTTGCCTCCAAAGAGTACATCTGTGACTCAATTGAATTCCCTACAACTGGTGTCGAAAGTGGCCAAACGCTAGTTTACTTAGCCATTTAGACTATGTCTACGCGCCGCAGACTACGTACCAGGACGTCGGACGATGAGAACCCGTCCACCCGGCCTACTACTCTTCGTGAGGAGCCGAGTTCGACGGGACATTTGCATATTCCCCCCAGGACCTCCAGGGAGAGCAAGTCCACCTCCCCTGGGGGCCTGGCCACAAGGACTCGATCGTAATCCCCATGCACACACACTCCCACACCGTCAGTTGGTTGTCGCACTCGGCAGACCGTATCGGTTATTGGCTGAACCTAGCCTTTATTGTGTTTGCGGGTGTTGTTACACGGTGAGGATGGGAGATGTTGGTGATAGAGGGGATTCCGAGCGTTTGCGTTACTGCATTTTCTTTCTCTCGTGTTGTGTTTTGTGCTTACACCCTTTTCCCCGTTGTTAATGTACATTTGTAGGTAGTGTATATATTGTGTAGGTGGGTTTGGGTATTTTTTTGTTATTTCTTATTGTTGAGGCACACATTGCGTTTTAGTCACTTTTTACTCACTACGAAGGGGGGGGGGGTGATGTAGGGACATCGTGGCTGTCACTGTGTAATGCCGGCCCGAGAGGGGTTCAGTGAGTGCTGATGGATAGCGCTGAGTGGCACTCCACTCGGCGTGCAGTGCTGACCTCTACAGGATGGGGTGTGAGAGCGTCAGCCATGGAATGGGGTTACTGTCGGCCATGGCACTCTGGTTGACCCCGGAGGACACGTGACTGGTAAAGTCTACACAGGGGCCCCAAGTGGGGGCGAAGGGTGGTCACATGTCGGAGGGGAGATCCTGCTAGAGGATTCGAGAAGGTGGTCGTGGCCAAGGGCAGAGCCAGCCACGACCAGTGAGGATATAAGCCGGGTCCCCAGAGGGACCGGGGTTCAGCGTTGCTGTTGTCATCTTGAAGAATCTACGTTCGACGTCCGAGAAGAGTCACCAACACGTGGACCTGGACCCAAGCTGGGGTCCTGTCCGTTGTAGCTACTCCCAGTGTAATTAGTGGAGTTAGCCTGGTGGTTACGTAGCTAGTTACGGTGTAATTAGTGTAGTTAGCCTGGTGGTCCACCACCATAGGTTGTTATCTGGTAAAGGGGCAGTTATCCCTTTTGTGTTGGTATCAATAAATGTGTTGCCTCCAAAGAGTGCGTCTGCGACTCAGTGTAACTCCACTACACATGTATTGGGGGGAGGGGGTCGCAATCGTGACGCCAGCACGTCGATATGACAGGGGGGTCCGTTGGTCATACATGTGAGCTGCGAGCCGGACGAATAAACATTCCATTTGGACCCTCGTCAACCGCTCAGAAAATGGGTGCACGTGGCCGGTGTTGGGAACGAGAGCCGAGAGTCGTGTCACAGTCGACGAGGAGGATCACGAAGCGGAACCAAGGAAAACAACGCAGAATGCTACCAAAACTTGCATTTCATCATTTATTGATGACTGCTCTGTGTCCTCGATAAGGATCGTGGCCAGGAAAGATCGAGGCACGGTGGGCACGAGTCACACATGTCAATTAAAAATAATTAAAACAAGTAATTAAGTGTAAATTTGTACATGCATAGTGAATAAGTAAACATTTTCAAAAGTGACTTCACAGTGAAAAAAAATACATGGGAGATTTATGTTCACAATATTATTATCACGCTTGTTTACCCACGACAGCCTCACGACTCTGTTTCGTGGTGGTCTAGCCACGTTTTCACGGTAAAAAGGTGATTGTTGCGATATATAATTCCAATTGAATCATCTATGGGTAGTGTTTAAAATACGGCAAGTAATTAAGAGCATATGCTGGCACACACAATTGACTTACTCTTGAGAATGATGGCACTGGATATTTAACGTCCACAGTGAAGCAGACAGCGCGCATTTTTATGGTTATTACCGCAATAATAAGCAGGGCGGCTGCTGCATTTCGAACCGTGAACATCTTGCAGCAAGCGGCGAACTGGCTATCGCTGGCCCATGGCACCGCCATGTTATTGTCTTTTTGATTTGTAACGTTCCTACCTGCCCCGAACTGGACATCTGTGAAAAAGAGCTTTATTATAGCTCATTGGATTCCTCCAGTATGAATATTCTGATTCTGATATGGTTAATCTATCTAGTTGTGTAGTTGGAAGTATATGAGTTTACATAAACATCATAACCATTTGGTGGTACTGTATGTGGGTTTTACTATGGATAGACGTCCCTACAATAGCTATGTGCAATTTCCACCGCTGGTTCAGGGCTATAAGCAGGAGATGAACATCGATACCTCGGTGCTCATTTGATAAGGAAGTCACTTTGACTTAAAATAGAAATCGTGTACCTACTCTAGATAACATCATCGTGAACACCATTTGGTGTTATCGGCATCAGCCATTGTCTCTGTTAGGGTCCTGTTTCAATTGGTACCAATGCGCAATTGTAATGTAAAATAAACATCTTTCTTCACTGCGGAGGGCCACTGTCATGATATTATATGTATGTACTGTATAAATATATCTAACCCTATGAAGGCTTGGATTCAGCTTTCCCTCGCTTGAACGGGCTGCTTAAATGTACACTATTGTTAAGGGTGGAGGCTTCGTGCAATATAGAATGGAAATGCACTCATTGTCAGGTATTACGTTAAGCAGTGGGATAATCGAAACGGGGGTTATAGCTTACGCATTAATGTGGAGCCAAAAAAAAGTAATATCTGTCATTGTGAAACACTTCGCAATTTGCTGTGCAAATCGGTTGTAAATGAAGGTGCTCTCGACTCTCACCCCATTAGATTGAGGTCAGCATATACACTGTACTCTGTGCATGTCACATAAATAATCATCATAATAATAAAAACGCCGTGCTCAGAAAATAAATTGAGCCGGGAGGGCAAGCAAGAATGGACGGCAGGACCAGTTTGGCGGTGGCTTTTCGGCTTTAATTTCCTCTCTCGCTCGGGCCACTCTCCTCGCCGGCCCCGGCCCGGCCCGGCCCCACTCGGGCAGGGCCGGGGGGGGGTGCCCGAGGCGACGGCTCCGTCCGCGCTATCTCCGCGGCCGCGGGACATCGCGCAGAGACCATCGCGGACGGAAGACGGTCGCTCGTGGGGGCGATGTTACAACGACGGCTCACGGGGGAAGCCGCTAATTTGCATGAGTCAGAGAGAGAGAGGGCAGCAGCAGCAGCCGCGGCGGTGGTGGTGTGGGCTCCTCGGGCTCGGCACCACGTGAGCGCGCCCGTGTGTAGGTGTTGGTGGTGAGTCAGACGCCGACGCCGCCGCCGCCGCTGCCGCAGCCGCGCGTACATCTCGCGCACTGCCGATTGTCGTCTTCCCGCGAGAGACTCTTCCCGCCAGCTCTCCGGCACGAGCCGGCTGGTGGGTGGTGGTGGTGTAGTAACCGAGGTGCCATCGGTCTCGTCGTCTTCTGCTCGTCCGTCGGTGGCCGGCGTCGCCCGTGCCCTTATCTCTCGGGCGCGTCCAGCGAGGGACGAAGGGGTGGGTGGGTGGTGGTGAGGAGGAGGACGAGGAGGCCTCTCTGAATCTCGCCGTCCGCTCGTTATGATGTTGGCCGCTTTTTGTTGTTCGCCTCCTCGATCGAGGTGGGCATTCTTCAAAAGAAGGCCCGCTCATTGACGGCGAAGCAGCCGGCGGAGGCGAGGTCTGCGGGAGGAGGGAAAGGTATGGAAGTCCTGAATTCGCGGTGTTTATTCTCTATGAAGCAACAGAAGCAGCAGCAGCACAACATTCGGATGTATTGATATTTAAAAAAAAACACGTAAGATTGTGTTTTGAATCGGGGTACGGCCATTGGCAGTAGTAATGTGTGCTCCAGTTGCTCATGTGTGGAGGCTGCATATTAATTGTGAAGGGTTTTTTTTTCTGCGCTCGCTGATGATGTTCCAACTATCAGAATTCTACACTCATACAGCAATTGACATGGTAACCATTAGAACAAGCACGAATGTGTGTACTGTACGTGGTGTTCCCACTTCACGGAGGGAACCATTCAGAGGTTCCGCGTAATATAAACGGGTAGCTTTATATATTTTTTACAGAAGCTCAGCGTTGGCAATTTACACTCAATTCTAACAGGCAGGTCATTAATTAGCCGAATAGCTAATAAGTGTTACTCATCTCCATGTCATCACCAATGTCTTGTAGGCCAGCCGGGCTCATGAATAGTAAATGCTTTCGCCCACCGCTGCACAGCACCAGGGTGACAATGGTAGCTAATCCCTGACTCATTGACAGGTAGTGTGAGAATTTAAACCAAGCCAGCAGATTTCAGTTTACGCTGCTATAATTTTTAACTATTGAATGCTCCGACTGTAGTGTGTGTGTGTGCGTGCGTGATGACGTGCGAAGTTAAATAACGTGCTTAATTGTAAATGATTCATCGAGGGGGAGAAGTTGTTGAACATATATCAAGAAAATGTCTCTTGGTGCAGCCGTTCTCCTGCGATAACGCACATTTTAACGGAATAACAACGAGGTGCGAAGATGAGCCATTTCCTCTGTGCGATAGCTAGGAACAGCGGCACTCTGACCATGAATAATGAGTGCAGCCGTGAACTAAACCCCCCGGATTGGTAATCTCGGCCAAGCACACGACGCCCGCTCTGTGTTTAAAAAAAAAAACCCCACAGAACGGCACGCTCTCGCAGGTGTCATCTCTAGCGCCGCTCTCATTATCATATTTACAGTCTCGGGCACAAACAGTTCTTAAAGAGCGCCGTCTAGTGCTTCCGGTCATGCAGCAAAGAGGGACAATTTACACACGTTTATTGTCAAAACAGATCGAGCGAGAGCCGGTCGTGATCATCGAAGTGACACCACACACGCGCGCGCGCGTCTTCTCAGTTATTGTTGCGCTTTGAGAGTTGGCACAGCAGGTGGCTTTCGTGGGTGCGCTTGAGATGTTTCTTGAGCAATTTGTCTCGTTTCGAATGATAACGCGACACCCGAATGGATGTGCCCTTTCGCATTCGGTAATGGACCAGATGCAGGTTGTCCAGGGAGAAAGGGGCATTCGAGAATCTGAGCGGCTGACGGAGCGGTGCGGAAGAGCCAGGGAGAAGCTTTAAATTAAACGACATTCTCGCAAAAGGTTCCAGAATCAATTAAACTCATTTGTTCTGTGCGGCTAGGGCAAAGTAGAATTAAATCGCTGTCTCTTTTGTTGTTTTTTTTGCTTTGGCTTAATTTAATTCCCATTCTGCGCCGCTGCCTTGCGTTCTGACATATTCAGTCTTTTGCTTAGCGTTCTCTACTGCCTACCGGCTACACAGTGTTGTGTCATTCACGTGTTTTCACCTGAACCCCTTTGTGAATCCACTTCTGGGTGAAGGCCTACTCACGCTGTTTCGGTCATGACGGGGTCTTTCGAGCGTACGCGCGTCATGTCGATAGTGTTGTGGGTATTTCCTAAATGTTAAGAGAGCGGCAGCTTGTGGAGACCTTTGGGTTCTCGGTAGCTGAAAACAGAATGTACCCTTTGCCGGCTTATAAATAATTTTCATCGCGGCCCTGTCGCGTTGTTAAATGTCAATGGATTGAACGCCACGTTATTCTTGAGATCATCGACATGACGTCTGGGAGCCAGTGTGTGGGCTTCAGGCATCATTAGCATGGTCTGTTCATTTGGATGCGCAAGGTATCGTGGGGTTCGTGAAGGCAAACAAAACTAAATCGGAATGCTTCCACCACCCCAAATTGCTGCTGCTCTGGGCTGTTGGAGTTGCGTACATCGCTGCTCACTGTAATGGGGGTTCGTGAGATTTTGATAGCCACCTATAAGGTTGAGAACTACTGATCTTAAGCACATTGTGACATTTACACGTTTCTCAGAAGTCCAACATTCAATCTCATTCCAATTAAATGAAAATTCAATTTAATCCGTGAGTCACGCGTTTTGACGGACAGTTATGCTAATCGAGTAAGCCTCATCAAAGCTGCCTTCAATCCTGATCCCACCTACCCCTTAGCGCCTGCGAGCTAAGTGCCTGCTCCTCCGTGACGTCATTGCCCTGCCTCCTCACTGATCCTGTCATTATTTAGCCTCTGGCTGAGCAATGTACAAACTTCACACAGCTCGCTTGAGCCACGACTGCCCAGAAGGCGCATTTGGCATGCAGCATGCATCACGTATTAAACAAATAAACAAATATTTTCGCTAAAAGGATGGTAAAACGAAAGCATTTCTGATTGAGTAGCAGCCGTGTAGAATATTTTCTGCAAGCCCATTGACATCTGGAGGGTGAATATGAATACAGGTCTGTGGTGTATTGCATGACATTGGTATTGTGGGAGATGGTCCCGTCTCCATGTCATATTTTCGCACGGGAATGCGGGTACATGGTACTCGGGAGTGCCGCTCTTGAGCTTGTACCATTTGGTCACGTTGCGTATGCTTGAGCTGGGCATGGTCTTACTGACCATGGGACACAGTACTCTCTGCATGTGCTCAGAGAAGTGTTATTTAATGGGGAGTGGTGGCATGTGGGAAGCACATTGCTCTCTGAAACTGCCGATCCGATTTAGATTCCCGGCCACGGCTAACATCGCTAGCAAGTGATATCTTAGAGCCACTTGTTGGTTTCCTCTAGGTCGGCTCAGCCTTAATATTTAGTAACTGTTGTGTTTTCTAAACGCTGGTACAGGGAGGATTAATGGTGGCCGGGTGGGTTGCTGGCCACCCCCACCTCGTTTGTGCTGTGTCCCGCGCTTCCTGGGCAGCTTGCCAACAGCATTTGCCCCAACAGTCTGTAAGGCTACACGGGGAAACGGTCTTTTTATTATGTAATGTGACTTATTGCGAACATCACCACAAAACAACATAGGGGGCAGTAGCACACTTTATAAAGATATATCACGTTATTAAAATAATGAACTAAAATAACATATTAATGGCATTCTTGGAATATAATCTGCCCAGGTGGCATTGTGGTTAGAACACGTGGCTTGCAACCAGAATGTTGTAATTTCAAATTCGTTCAGGGGGTCGCCTAAGCCATTCAGATTTCTATATGATACATAATGCCCTTCATCCAGGAGAGCCTCACTGACACTTATTCTAGTCTTGCACTGGGATGTTAATCCATGTCCATTACTGAATATTTTGCGTGCGAGAGAACCTGAGTACCTGGTGAAAACTCAAGCGTATGATTATTATTCTTTGCTTATTTGTCCAGGAAAGCCACACACAGTTTGGAGTGTTGTATTGGGTTTTTTTCACAAGATGTTTTCAGCCAATTAATGATGACTGTTTATGCAAGTGGGAGGAAACCAGAGCACCCGGTGACAACCCATGCGTGTGAGGAAGGGGGCAACACTCTATCCCCGTACAAATGTAAATGTGGCAGTTTGTCCATTCTCTTTGGTTCTATTCGGTAAAGTCACGTGGGTAAAAAAAAACACAAAAATCACGACGTTTTGGCCACAACACAAGTGGCCTTACTCTTTGTTTTTTTCGGTAAAGTCACGTATATACGTATATACCGAAAAAAACAAAGAGTAATCCCTGCAGTCACGAAAGCTTCAAATCAAGTCACAAGTGGCCTTCATCAGGTGAAGGGACCGTACTGTCCAGAGGACAGCGTTGGAGTGAAGACAGCCAAGCCCAGGTCGCGTCCTTTAAGCTTAAAGCTTAAAGGACGCGACCTGGGCTTGGCTGTCCCTTCACCTGATGAAGGCCACTTGTGTTGTGGCCGAAACGTCGTGATTTGTTGTTTTATTTTTTTACCTACGTGACTTTACCGAATAGAACCAAAGAGTATGGATCCTTGCAGTCACGAAAGCTTCAAATCTGGAATTTTGTCCATTCACTGCCCTGCGTTTTCCTGACGAGCCATGGTATGGCACCTCCACGCCCACAGGAAGGGAGTTTCACAACATTCGTGTGAATTTCGATTTAAAGCTTTCGTGACTGCAGGGATTCATCGTCTTGGTTCTTTCGGTAAAGTCACGTAGAAGGGAAATAATAAAATAATAACAATTAAACATACTAAAATAAAATTCTCACGATGTTTCGGCCACAACACAAGCAGCCGTCCTCAGGTAAAGAAGCAGAATTGTCAGAAAGACAGCGCTCCAAGTCTTTCTGACTTGGAGCGCTGTCTTTCTGACAGTTCTGTTTCTGTGACTTTTCCGAAAGAACCAAGAAGAAGATTCGTGTGATCGACCAACCCTCGTCTCCACAGTGCTGGATGGATTACAGGCATGTGTCACCACCGCCCGGAGGAACAATGAAAGATGGATTACCCTGACCTTTGCTGCCCATCACGGCAGCATTGTGGCCACCTTTATAACACTATCTACCTTTTGAGATATGAGATTGGGTGCCTTCTGGGTGAATTTGTCATAGCCTATATCGCTGATATAGGGCATCGTGACTAAAGCTGTAAAGTGAATCCACCATGTGTGCCCCTTTCAGGACGGCATGAGCACGTGGCCACAGTGAGCAAACCTGCTGAGGCCTTCTGTCCGACCGGGGGATTAGGCCCCCACTGCGGAAGGGCGGCCACCGGGCACCCTGGCCTCCTCACTGCCCGCCTCGCCCCGCACGTACTCGCTCCAGCAGCAGGGCGGCCTGACTGCACCCCGGCCAGGGCACGGCCCTGCAGGTACCACCTCAGAACGATCCCGTTACCCTCCCCCGCAGTGGCGGGTGTTTGGGCCCGAGCATTATTATATTTCTAAACGAGGATGAAAAAAATATTAATTAGCAAGGATTCGGTAACGCTTTCCAAGATGTGTTTGTCGTACGATGATAATCTCCATGTATATAAAAGGCAAAGTTGTGAATGTGTGTCTGTTGACAATGTTTAGCGTACTTCCCGACATGCAACAAACTTGAAATTTGCCATGTGGGTACTTTCCAGACTGTACACCATGCAAAAATGATAAAACTACACTTTTTTTGTGGGGGGGGGGAGCTCAATAATGCATTTATTTTTTGCACAGCAAGTGAGCTGTGACGTCAAATCTGTCATGTGACCCGCGCATGTGAAAGCGTAACGCATTGTAGTGTAGTGGTGAGCGCGCCGCGCTACGAACCCGGCGACCCGAGTTCGATTCCCGCTCATGGCCACCACCCACCACCAGTGACGATTATTTCAACCGCTCCTGGGCCTCCCCTAGGTCGACTCAGCCTCAAACGAGTAACTGCTGTGGTGTGTGAACATCGCCACTGGGGAGACAAAGGCGGCCGCGCGTGGTGGATCCAAGTCCCGGGCGAAGCCGGGTAGTTCAGCTAGTCTATATATATATAAAAGGGAAATTTGTGATTGTGTGTCTGTTCAAAATGTTTAGTGTACTTCCCGACATGCAGCAAACTTGAAATTTGCCATGTGGGTACTTTCCAGACTGTACACCATGCAAAAATTATAAAAGTACACTTTTGTATTTTTTTGGGGAGGGGGGCGCGCAATGATGCATATATTTTGTACAGCAAGTGAGCTGTGACGTCACATCTGTCATGTGACCCGTGTGCGGAAGCGTAACGGAGTGTGCCTGCTGATCGCAGGTAAAGTGCCATACAAATGTGTTGCATGTCTAAGGCGTTCTTCGCGCAGCATTGCTTTATTATTTGAGTCGTTTACTGCCGTACGCGCCCTGAAAGTTGTGTGTGTCTGCAGCAAGCACGTGTATGTGTACCTATGGACGCGCGCGCGTTTGTGTGTGGGGGGAGCGGTAGTGTAGTGGTTAGCGCTGCGCTGCGCTACGAACCCGGCTACCCGAGTTCGATTCCCGCTCACGGCCACCACCGGTGACGATTATTTGAACCGGTCCTGGGCCTCCCCTAGGTCGACTCAGCCTCAAACGAGTAACTGGTGTGGTGTTTGAACATCACCACTGGGGAGACAAAGGCGGCCGGGCGTGGTGCTGGCCACCCACCCTCTTATGTGCCATGCCGGCCTTCATAGGTGCTCGCTAACAGCACTTGCCCCCTCCAGTCTCACAGGCTACATGGGGGATCTTTGTCTTTATCCTGTGTGTGTGTGTGGGGTGTGGGGGGGGGGTGTGGGGGGGGTGTGGGGGGGGGTGCAGCGACTGTGTAGCGATTCGCGCGCTGCGCTACAAATCCGTCGACCCGAGTTCGATTCCCGCTCACGGCTATCACCGGTGACGATTATTTGAACCGGTCCTGGGCCTCCCCTAGGTCGACTCGGCCGGGCGTGGTGAATCCGAGTCTCGGGCGAAGCCGGGTAGTAAAGCTAGTATTATATATTTTTACGGGCAATGAGCTGACATTGCACAGCGACTGGATCAAATATTTGTAATGTTCCTATCGGGAGGGGGTGGGGCATGATGTGTGACGTCATCGCCTTGACCTACAATGTGAAAGGTTTTAACGGTGTTTTTTCTTGCCAAGTTTTGAGTAACCCTTTATTAATTTGTCCCGAATAGCAACACAACTTTATGCAAACATTTCCTTCACATTGGATTGTTCCTGATGATAGCTATTGTGTCCCCTGTTACAGAGAGACACGGATGGTGAGACAGCTTAATGGATTAACACCAGCATCCTTAGAAAGCCTTAAAAATGGGATTACATTTATTGTGACCAGTACCCAAATGTGGTGAATGTGTTTTAACTACCTGCTGTCTCATTTTGAACCTTTTTTGTAATAAGTAATACCTCCCTTGGGATTTAATTAATTAAATTTCAATTCACATTATCCTACCTATTCATGACATTGTACTCAGAGTAAAGATGCCTTACCTAGTGAGATTTTGAATTGCTGGGGATAAAGAGTCCCAGTAATATAATAGCGGGCCACTGCTAGTAAACTGCGCCATGATTGGTGGAGGAGATAGAGGAGGTGACATTGGTGTTTCCTGTCGGTGAAGCGATTAGCTGGAGAAGGAGAGCACTGGGAAGGTTGGAGTGACCACTCTTTCAATTTCAGCACACCCCCAGGGCAGATCTCCTTGGTTACGTTTCTGGCCTTATTTTTTAACCTCACTACTGCTCTGTTCACAATATTTTTTTTACAGTTCTAGGAAATGAATTTGGAGTAAGTGTATTCGTTTGATTTTGACTACATCCTTGGAATATCAATCTCGCATTTGAGGACCATATAAGCTATTGCTACAACAAATGGTATGATAAATGTGGTCGTTTACTGGAATTACTGCATTGCATATGTTTAAATATCTCTTTACATATTTATGTCTGTACCTAATGAAGCTAGTTTTATTTGCCAACTAATAGCCAAGTACGTACATCAGTTTAAATGTATTCACAGGGTTGAGCAGCAATGATCCACATTGGATTAGGCTATCTCTGGCAAATATCAGGTAGACACATTTTGAATTAAAGATCATTTTAATTTACAACGGCTGATGTAATGATTATTCCACCAACTATCTTTTCTCTCGCCTCTTCATCATCACCATCATCATCATCTTTAAAGCCTGATGCCTCCAAATCCTCGCTCGTCTTAGGTGTCCTAGTGACGTGAGTGCCTTCGGCCATCCTGAGCTCGTGTCTCGGAGAGAGATTCTGACACGTAGGCAGTCATGAATAGCAATCCTCGTTGAACATCATGTGCTCGCCATTGCGTGGCGTCGTGAGGTGCGTGATCTATATGCCCCTGTGTCTCTGTGTGCACCCATCGTGTACATTTTCGTGGCAGTTGTGTGTTATCTTGCTGGTCATACAGCTGCTTTATTCCAAATGTGTTTCTCAATGTGCAGATATAAACATGATTCTCTGACTGACACCATGTAAGCTCAGGATTGTAAGTCGACAATACTTATTCTTAGTTCTTTCGGTAAAGTCACGTTGAAGGGAAACAATAAAATAATAATATATATAACAATAAAAATTCTCACGACGTTTCGACCATAACACAAACGGTCGTCTTCAGGTGTGTCGGTTTTCATAAATTTTGAATAAACACAAGATCCAGGTCCGTTTCAACACATTACATAAAATCCGTGATCTGGTTCCGTCTGTAAAAGATGTGATTCCGGACATACAATACACTGGTGTCTACAAACTAAGTTGCCTCTGTGGTAGTAGTTACATTGGAAAAACCAAACGCCATGTCTCGGACCGCATTCGTGAATACAAAGCAGACCTTAAACACGGTAGGACCAACACCTCGGCCGTGGCAGATCATTGTTATAATTCAGTAGGCTCACATGACATTGACTTTTCCAAGACAGAGGTTCTTTGTAAGCCATCTGGCTACCATGAGAGATGCGTTCATGAGGCTATCCACATATACAAGCACAGAGACAATTTCAACCGAGAAGATGGATTCTGGCTTAGCAATCATTGGAAAGATTAGATAAACCATTTCAGGTCTTAATTGATTGTTCACGCTTACAGTGGCTTTCAGACAGCATACATAAAAAAAAATTCGTCTCCCCCCTCCTCTTTTCAGAACATAGATGGACTAGTCCTTCTAAATAAACTGCCAAATCGCTGCGCGTGGCGCTAACGTTTTTTTTTTAATAAATAAATACACCGTTTAAAAATAAATACATTTATGCAAACCGACACACCTGAAGACGACCGTTTGTGTTATGGTCGAAACGTCGTGAGAATTTTTATTGTTTTATATATATTTTATTATTTTATTGTTTCCCTTCAACGTGACTTTACCGAAAGAACTAAGATTATGAATTACTGCAGTCACGAAAGCTTTAAATCGACAATACTTGTCAATGTATTGGGAATGTAAAACCATTTTTTGTAAAATTCAGGATGATTAAACAAAGAGTGAATTATTTTGTTTACATTTTATTTCTTAAATCAAAATGGCCTCTTTACCCTGATTGATTCAACAAAACGCCGTTATGAAATACTGTACATACAGGCAAAACCCAGCAAGTGGCTTGAGCCGCACTATGGATTATAGAGGCATGTCTAGGCAGACTACGCCATTGTATGTTAGAATACATTTCTGAAGTGCTGGCCAACCCATGTCTCTTCAAAGCAGCCTTCTCTGATTTAGCCCCAAGGCGACAGCGGTGAGCGTCTCGAGACGAAAAAAAAGGCAGAGAACACCAATGAAGAAACACTGGCGTAGGAGCTTTCAGTACAAAGAGATAATAGGTATGTTAATCAGCAGGGATGATGGTGAAAATGCTTTGTCTTGAGGCTCCGGTAGAGGGAGATGATTGTGGGTTATGTGGTAGCTAATCAGTAATCACGTGTTTATATTTCTGACAGCAAACTGATCACGTGTGGTATTTCTAGATGTGATGGGTTTGTATATTAGGTCAGGCGCTTAATTCAGCTGCTCAATGGAACAACTGTGACATGAATCACTGTTAGCTGTGGCGCTGATGAGCATCCTTGCACTATCTGATTGCTATGCAAACTGCACTCTGTCATTTGGCGATGCTGCCGTGGTGGGTGGCATCGACACTGATCTCAGTATTCAAAATCCATTCACACCGAAATTGTTATTTAATCACATTAAGAATGACGCACGCGGCGTCTCTGCGTCATACTTGTTAATGGGAACCTGTTGGCAGACGAGCTGGCACAAACATCACGTGCGAGTCTTTTAAGCCCAGGACAAATGCCGCATCCCTAACACAAACACAATTTCGACGAGCAAGAGCTTACGCTCAAAATCTCGTCATTTTGCGTTACAATAGCACCTCTCATGCGCGTCATTGCACTTGTGATGCGGGTGCGATTACATCACATATTCTCGTCATCCCCAGGTGTTTGGGGGGTTCTAGGGCAGGCAGGCAGGTGTGATGATTCGTTGGGAGGAGGAGCAGTAGTGGTTGGTAGTCGTAGTCATCATTCGCGCCCGGGGGAAGGGGGTGGCGGGGGCGGTGTGCCGGGTGGGGGTGGGGTGACTGCGTGAAGCACACACACAGTTACTGTGGCTGCAGCGTGCCGGGGCCTTGCCCCCCGCCCCCTTGCCCTGTATCCCCTGGCCAGCTGTCTTGTGATCAAACCTCCCCTGTATTTCTAATCCTGCCTTCATCACTCTGGCACTCTTTAACGACAGCACGCTCCCCGTCGACTGCTCCAGTGAGTAGGGCCTCCTGGCACCGCGCACGCTGGCTGTGTGTTGACACTGGAGTTTGTTCCCTTCGCCGTTTTGAATGCAGTAGCTGTTATCAAGCGCAATCTCGGATGTAGAGTAACGCCGCCACCTTGGGTCTGCCGAATGAAGCGAGGGTCAAATGTCCCATTGTTATCTGTGCCACTGCTCGGTCTCTCTGTGTGCCTTTTTCATAAATCGGTTCCTGGCTGCTTCGTATGCACTTACAGTTTCTTAATCACTGTGTAAAGATGGTCGGCAGTAAATGCAAAAAGGCAGCCGCCACACCGATTGAAATGTACTCCGCTTCATTTTCTGTCAATGGTTTAATGCACCGAGATATACGTATGGGAATTTGTGTTTCTATATTTGCTTCTTCTGGGGTATGGTATGTATGTGTAGCTTCTTTTGCACCGTACATAGCCAACTGTGCTAATCGGAGGGTGTTGGCGTAGTGGATAAATGCACTGCGCTCATAACCTTCATGACCTGAGCTCGATTCCTGGCCACGGCTAACGTCCGTTTTAAGTGACATCTTAACCGGTCCTGTGACCCCTCCTTCACAACGCAGCATGTATAGTCGAGCAATCCGATGATAGTGTGAAGAGACTTTCATCCGTAATTGACTTGAATGCATAATCATGCTAACATTGTTTCTGATGCGTTAACTTTTAAGTTATGGCGTACAGTTTTGCTTGTTTTTAATATGTTTTTTTATTGTTTATTTGCTCTCGTTTTGTAATTCCATTTTTACATTACACAAGTGAGCATTCACTGGCTTCCAATATCTATAGCTCTGTTACTGTGTATTATCTAGGTAATTGGTCAATAAAATTGGTGAAATCACAAATCAAAGAAGAAAAAAGTATGTCTTTGATGGACAATGTAGAACCAGTGTCACAGCTTACTCTCCCCTCTTCCAAATGCTTACTGTTTAAATTGATCATTAAGAGAGATGTTAATTATGTCAATGTTACTGATTTATTGGTTTCTTGATGTAGCATCTGGTTAAGCAGATTTTAATTGTTAACCCTTTTGCCCAGATCCGTTTTGCTTGGCAATTTGCCCTACTGTTGACGATCGGGGGGCATGGGCATATTTTCTCCAAAAAAGTATAATTCTCCACCATATTGAAGGGTCCTCTTATGTGACACTATCAATAACGCATACTTCAGCCTTTAGTAATTTATACAACAGTTCTAGGGCATGGAAACTATTTCTATAAACACATACCGATGACCTTGTTTCGTATGGTACATGTCCCAACAACACGAGGCATTCTTGTTGGCTTCCTCAAGCCGTCAGCAGCCCTCGAACACACGGCAGAGCATTTGCCTTTGCCCAAATGGCACGCAGCCGAATATTGGCTCTTGCCCGGGCAATTCTGTGGCAACAGTGCAGCGTACAGGACGCGCAGTCTCGCGATGGTAGAATGTCGCAGAACTCGCCGTGGTTGTTGTGTACCCCGCGAATGGTGAATGGCCGAGATCCCAAACCTGCAAAACGGATTTGGGATCTCGACTGGGCGCTGTTCAAAGGCTCGCCGCTTTGCTTCTCGGGGCCGTTGCAGCCAGCGACTGTGGTTCTTTCAGATCTAGTTCGCTTTTGCAGAGACGTCATGTTCCCCGTACCCTCACTACCCCTGCAAATCTCTGCCAATTATTTTCAGACGGCAGAAAGCAGCCCACGCTGACACTGGCAACAAAATGAGGACTTGGATAATTCTGTGACAGCGTGCTATGTTAAAAATAGTTTCTTGGGAACGAAGCGTTACCAGCAGTTCGAATCGAAGCGAAGCGTGAATCCATGCGCAGAAAAATTCCCGACCTCGGTTGCGCCGTATTTATGTCGCATTTCCTCCGATTGCTTCGGGCACCATATTTCAAGGAAATAATGGTGCCAACTTGAATGCCTAACCTTTCCCTTCCTGGCTGCGTCTGAAGGCGCAGAAATTGGTGCTGTCTCAGTTTCAAGTCTATACTTTATTACAATTGTAATGGCCATAAGCTGTTGTATTGTTTCATGAAGGGCGAGCCTGAGATGTGAGTATTTGGCAAGCCCTGACGTGAATCTCCTGCAGCCTGGATGACCTTTGCCGCGGGGTCCCACGATCTTAATTGGCTGCAGTGAATGGAATGCGATTTTGCTTGACAATCAGTCTAAGTGCACGTATATATGGTTAATCTAAATGTTAGTTTTGTGCCGGACCACATTATTTTTGTTGACGCGTATTATTTAAACGTTTTTGTTCATTCGTGTGCTGGAAATATCTTGCGTGATGGTTTTTATAGACTTAATAACTGCAGCTGGAATAAAAAAAACGCAGAGCATGCGCAGTCGGCACTGTCGACTGTGCCTATGATTCATACGGAGCATTGTATTACAAAAAATAGGTTGTGTGTCATGGCCCTGCATTTATCGGTGAGTATGCTAGTGAGCAAGGCTAAGGAGCTGCCTTGTCTGTATGGTTCTTGTCTGTCTGGTTGGCCCAGCCATCTGCATATTAACTGAATACTGTGATTGCAGTTGTTTGATCGTCTTGTTGTCTTTTTCTCTGGCTCTCTGATAAGGAAATCTTCGTCTGTGTTTGATCCTAAGGCAGGCCCTGAGAGCTGCTTGTTAAACGGTTGGTCGTGCTCTAATCTTCGTCTTGTTCTCTGCTGTTCAGTGTCTTGTCTGCCATCTGCACTGCATCTCAGCTTATCTCTTGATTTGCCTGCCTCCACGGTGCTTACGCACGCACACGTACCTTTTTTCCCCTCCCGTGTTCAGGACCCAACAGGCGGACGAGGAATGAGGTCATCCCGCCAGGACCCAGACCAGCGCCTGCCCCAGCCAGGAGTATGGACCACCTGCCCACGCGCGGTAACGTGTACACTCCCTGCCGCCCGTCACCCACGTGCCGGCCACTCTCACATCACAGCATCGAGCGCCAAAGGCATTCAGCCTGACCGTAGGCAATGACCACCACAGGGGGTTTGCATGGGTTTTGATAAGCAATAGTAGTGTGCTGGTGTTCCAGGCTCTCTCTCGTTTCTCAGTTGTCTCTACATCTCCCCACCTGTCACATCATGTGGCCAGGACACTGATCATCTCTGTCTCCGGCTTAGCTATAAAATGTTTTGAATCGCTGAGATGTATTTTTCAATTTATTTCTGCCTGTCATTGCTGGCACTCGGAAGTTTCTTTATAATTATAGTAAGCTAATTAAGAGCCTTTCTGTTATTTTATTTATTTGAGACCAAACTGTACAACCCTTCAGATGATCGCAGAAGAGCTATGGTGAAAACTAACAACTGTTCTCCACTGCACAGCCAGCCACCATGTAATACTTGAATTCCTTCCCTGCTTTTGGGCGTGGAAGTGAAGGGTTAAAGGTGATGTCATCGCTCTTGGCAGCAGACAGCTCACATCACTGTGCGTCGTGTGTCCTCCCAGGGCCTTGTTTCGTGCCGGTCGGCGTGTCGCTACACCACCGAAAGCCACACTCTGATTAAAACCCGCTAATATAAAGCTCCCCCGCTTCACGCTTTTGCCCGTTCACAAGCGGTCATGCTGCAAACCAAGCAGTACCTCTGATGTTTGACGTCATGGGTAAAGTAGCATCTCCAGAGGTGTGGTTGAAGCGCATCGAAGACAATGTCTCGCAGTGTGGAGGGCAGGAAGTAAATTACAGGGAGTAGATTTGTGATGTTGCAGCGCGTTCTTTAGCTGCAACATCACAAACAGCACGGTGCATTCATGATGCATTTAGAATAATGTTTTTTAAGAAATAATATTTTTTTATTTTAGTGCAACACCTACGTGAGTGAATAACAGAATATTTGTTTTATTTATTTCACGGCCTGACGAGATAATGAATCCCGGTGGATTTTCACCTCATTGAACGCCGACGTATTTTTCTTATACCATGACAATATCAGTTACATTGATAAAAAATTTATTTCATAGCAATGTTGCATCGATTTCAATACAATACAAATTAATATCTGTTCCGTATTGTATTTGTTTTTTCAATCAATAATTTTAAAAGGAAGTGGGGTCATCTAAATAAAAAGCCTCGCTTGATATTGCATCAGTCAATCAATATGTTCATTTTCATCTCGGAGGCCTGTGCTGAAGTGTGTTTTGTTGGGACCTTTGCATCTTGTCTTTTACTCGAGGTCTATAAAATTATTTTTTTTTTGCCAGTGTAGTGATGATCCTGCTGAAGGAAAGGAAAGTGTTTCGCCATAACACAACCCTTCCCCGATCCAGGCAAAGCTCCAGCAGTGAAGTCGGGGTCATTCGGTAGCTCCCGTTAATATACAGTCTAATTCTGATAATAGGGTTTTTCCACTTTTTTCTTGGAAACAAAAGTGAAACCTTTTGACAAGGATTCATGTCTGCATTAACCACAATACCTGCAGTCAAAATTGTTTCCCTTCACCGTGACTTTACCGAAAGAACCAAGAATACATTAAAAAAACCATACTATGATAATATATGCATTATCCTTGAAACTGATTGGTCCACACCAAGGGACGGCTTCCTCCTTTTGAGCCTCGACCCAATTGGTGCTCGACCAGATGACGCCAAAAGGCGTACTGAAACTGATTGGTCCACACCAAGGGACGGCTTTCTTTTGAGCCTCGGACAATGCATAAGGACAATGCATATATTATCATAGTATGTTTTTATTTGCATTTTGACTGCAGGTATTGTGGTTAATGCAGACATGAATCCTTGTAAAAAGGTTTCAGTTTTGTTCCCAGGAAAAAAGGGGAAAAACCCTATTATTACATTTTGGTACTGGCAAAGGTCTAATGATGTAGTCTAATTCTGGTTTTGTGCCCCTTTGATCAAGGCACCAGGAACACGATGTCCGGGTAGATAAGAAATTGTGGTGTGAAAACACAGCGCTGCATGTCAAATGGATGCACTGTACAATCAGCGCCTAAACTGTGCCTAATTATAACTGAAATTCGGTATGGTGGATGCAATTTTACACATGGCCTCTCTTGAGCTGCAAGGATTTTAAACATTGCAACCCATATGCCTCGTGGCTGTCACCTGCCCTCTCGAGCTTGGCTTTCCGTGATTTAGCTATCCTATCTGTCAATTAGAGCTCCAGTAGAACGTCTCACTATAAATACCATGTTTGCCCATGTTTTATTGCACTTATGAAGCGATCTTTCACCTCTTTGGAAAAGATAAAATTGTTGGTGGTGGCACAGGCAAGGGTCACAGAGTGGATGAGACAGAAAACCATCACTTTGGTTCTATGAAAGACACTGTGTGAATCTTGAGCAGAGATTCAGTGGGCATTTTAACGATTCATTCAAGTAGACATCTCCTATGCAAAGCAGAAAATTCGGGGTATGAGCATGTCTTTGGGATGCTCCTCATTCACTGTGACCATATCGGTTGATGTAACATGCATATTGCTTCTTACAACTCCTAGAAGATGATTCCATAATCTCATCTACTTGTCGGCCCCAAACTATTTTGGGTACATGTTATTTATTTTGATTCTATTGGAAAGAGACGGTGATCCTCCAAACAGTGGCAGCCTACAGCTGTGCCGTTGCCATGAATGGCGGACCTAGTTTCCTCTGGGATGGCTTTTGTTACACCCACTGTCGTTGTTTATCCTACCATGGCTCTATGTGGTCATCTGTTAACATCGTTCATCATCCAGGCGCTCCCTGACATCCTCAAAATTGCCGACACTTTTGCACAACTTTCCCAAGTGATGAATGCCTGGCGGCCATGTGCTTGTGAGCAGCCACAGGTCGAATGTCTGACCTCCCCCTCTTCCTTCGTCGCAGCACGTGGACAGGGCTGCCGCCTTGCACCTCATCAGAGTGCATCCCATAATTTGTCTTGAATAAAAAGTGTTTTATATTTTTTTGCTTTCCAGGAAAAGCCATTGTTACGAGCCATTGGTGCGCCACAATGCATGCCTGTGGAATTCGGTGGCCTGCTTTAACAAACAGTTTCGATATAACATGTGCCTTACTCGCTGGTATGGCCAAACCATATTTGGTCAACTCACTTACAGAGAACAGCATTTGGATTTCTGTCTCAACTCTGGACAGCTGTAGTTGACAATCGAGCGTCGTGGTTTTGCTATTTAATCCCAAAGCATGGGATTATTTATGTATATTATAGGTGGAAAATAATGACAATGTGGCTATTATTCAAACACCATTATCATCAACCACGGACTATCCAATTTTGCATATAGGCCTCACCAAGTCGTCGCCATCGCTTACTGTCGCACGATCTCCATCTAGCTCCTGCACACAAGCTGATGTCATCGTTCTCTCTCATCGGTGGACGTCCTGTTGCGTTTGTTCTCTCCTTTGGCCGCCACTCCATCGTGAGCCTCGATTGCCGGCTATAATCCCTTCTAACGACATGTCCTGCTCCAAGCCCACTTACTTGGCTTGAGGGTCAATGTGATGTCACCACCTGATATATGTTCTCTGCTGCACATGTTCCTCTTTCCGTCTCAGTGCAATTCCAATCATTCGTATCATAAATTCACTGCATTATACACGGCGAGGGCTACGCTGTCTATTTCTAGATTAATTCCTCGTCAATTACCGATTTCCCCCCCCCCCCGTTTCATTCCCCTGCTGGTGGAGCATGCTGTTAGCTGTCATCCCCTCCATGATAGGTTTGTAAATGAGACATGTGGTAGACACAGTGTAGCCTCTTTGGGAAAACCTATTAGAAATTAAATAAGTATTTCTACATCTATACAAGTGTCTATAAACGTGTGCATGTGTGCGCACATGTGTGAGCGTGGTGCTGGGGAGCTCCATACAAAGCTCCAGGTCTCGTCAGCCACATGCATGCCCTCCATTCTCTATCCTTGCAAAACGTGGAGCCCTCTAAAAGAACATCTGCGCCAGTTTGAAACATTCAGGCTAGCCTGCTTATGGTCTATCCTGGGTTTAACCAGACTGGATTGCGTGAGGAGTTCATAGAGCCTGGAAAGAGCTGGACACAGTCCCGTCCGTGAGCTGCTGCGGCAAGCGAGGCTGTGTTGGCTGGGTCATGTAGCCTGCATTCCCAGCCACAGGCATGCCCAAGAAGCTTCTGATCGGCCTGATAAAGGGGGCTAAACGGGCATGGCATGCGCTAGAAAAGAGATGGACTGATATGGTACAGAAGGATATGTAGATGATTGGACTTGGCTTATTGACGATGACTGGCATCAGCAGTGTAAAATCGGCCTCTGTGGAGGAGGTTTGTAAAGGGTGCTATGGGGGAGTTGGAGGCAGTCGCGCTCCAGCAACAACGGAGAGCAGAGGAGCGACACTCTCACAACAATGAGCAGAGCACCGGGCGGCTAAATCATAGAGAGTTGTCATTGTGGGGAGCACCGTTGTTGCATCTGCCAGTCATCTCAGTCAACCCATGGCACTTGGGTCTGTTCCATGACCTCTTGCCAGCGGGCCTTTCACACTTCACATGGCCTCAATGTGCCCCTAGCATAGCACAAGCGCTGTGGTAGCATCACCACTACTTAGTGGTGAACAACGGTTGTTATGTTAGGGGAGCGATAGGGAAACTGTTAGCGTGCTGCGCTTTGAACCGGGCTACCCGATTTCGATTCCCGCTCACATCTAAGACCAGTGACGATTATATGAACTGGTCGTGGGCCTCCCCTCGGTCGACTCAGCCTCAAATGAGTAGCTGGTGTGGTGGCGTAAACATCACTGGGGAGACAAAGGCGGTCGGGCATGGTGCTGGCCACCCACCCCCTGGTGTGCCGTGATGGCCCGCATAGGTGCTCATCAACATCATTGGCCCCAAGAGTCTATTCAGGCTACAGGTAGATCTTTGTCTTTGTTAACCCATAGCGTTAGTAAATGTTCCTGTTTGCCTTGGTGAAATTGTTCCAGCATCTCCATAAACACCAATGGGGCAAATCACCATGTTGGTGCGTTTCAGCCTTTTCATACAGATGTAAAGCTATACCACCTGCTGTCATAAAAGCAGTACTCTTGAACACAGTATACACCATTGTATTATCCCTTTATGTTTAATATTTCATAACGTTTATAGGGAATGGAGAGCATCTATGAAAGTATGTCCACGATGGAGATGGAGTGACGAAAGTAGCTTGTGTATAGGTGTTATTTTGTGGATGATTACATAGCAGAATTGTTAAAGATGGTGACGACTTGGGGAGGTCTTAATCCAGCAGTGGATTGTTTGTGGCAGAATATGATGATCATAATCAAGTTTAAGGGGGTGGGGGGGGGGCGTAGCGGGCAGGCGTGGAATGATGGCAACGCTTAATTTGGTGACCCGAGTTTGATTCTTGGACATGGCTAACATTTTGGCAAGTGATAATTGAACTGTTCCTGCGTTGCCCCTTCACCAGTTATGCATTGACTCGCTCGGTGAAGTGTGGTTAAATAACCCCGATGATCAACGTGGCATGGGAAGGTCTTCATCCAGCGGCGTAATGACGAAGAGCTGTGAACCGCTCTCATTGCGTGTAAGGGGGTGGCCGTAAAAGCGTCGGTGGACAACGGGATGTGACGAGCGCGCCGAGCGCCGCTGCCGTTTGCGTGGTGGTGAAGAGTCCACCCACGTGCTCCATGTGGCACGTCAGCAGGTGGCAACGCGACCCTCACGCCCTAGGGGCCGAGACTAAATAAGTCACGTAGCTGCCAACTGAGGCCTCGGTATCGATAACGCGTCCGATGTCCAGCACCACCGATCGACATTTATAAGATGGATGTGGCGTCGCTCGCAGTGAGCCTCTTAACCAGGCCTGCACGTTTTGTATGCATGTGTGTGAGTGCAGGGGTGGTGCACACATTGCTCGAATTAAATTCCTGGCCACGGCTAACGCCAGTGGCGAGTGGTATCGGGAGCTTTTTCTTTGAACTCTGCTAGGTCTACTGGGGCTTAAAAAAAAGTACCTGGTGCCGTTTTGTAAAACATCGGCGCTGGGAAGACTTAAGGTGGCCAGGCGTGGTGCTGGCCGCACTTACCTCCTAGTGCTCCGCGCCAGCCTCATAATAAGTGCTCGCGAACAGCACTTGTTGTGTGGTTGCACGCGTAGCACTGTGTGTGGCTACACAGGGGACCATTGTGTTTGTGTGCAGCGAAGGCCTTGGGTTCTGATTCCCGCGGTGATGAGACTACCCACGCCCTGAAAGCCCAGCTGGGACTGCTCCTGGGGGAGAGGAGCGCGCCCTCCACCCCCGCCACTCCGCGCTCCCACGGACAGAGGGGGCACATGGTAGGGCCCGTAATTGCGCTCAATTACAATGAGCGGCAATTATTACAATTGCAATCGTGGCGGCTGTAACTGGCACTATTTCGGGAAGAATCGGAAGGAATGCGGATAATGTTGTTAATTCCTGACAATGATCGAAGTACAACCGGGTTCCAATCGCCGCGTGTGCCACGCGTACACGTGCAACGCTCCGACGCCGGTGACAGGCGACCAACGTTATGCGCACGCCTGAATGCACAAACAATATATATTTTGTTGATGGCACGGCATCATTAAATGTTTCCCCGTGGTTGTGTTACGGTAAAAGCCGGGAATGTTCGTAATTCTAGGAAGGCTGGTTCAGTGGGCGCGCTCTTCACGTGCCGACGAGTGCCGCTGCTGCCAGAGCCTCTCCAAGGGTGCAGGTTGAAGGATTTGTGCTAATTTTTCAAAGCTCTTTAATGAGCTCTCGGGTTTCAGTTAATATTCTGGAACATTAAATGCAATCTATAAAACGGTTTGTGTTTCATGAAAGGGATTTTTTTGTAAGAGTGTTGTAAGGCTGCAACTGCAGGGATTCATTAATTTGTGTGTGGATTAAGAGGTCTACTGCTTTCGGAAAACCGCAGCCGTAAATTTCCTGTATTCTTGAAAGTCAGACCGCGATGCTCGAAATGAGCTGTGCTCGCAGCTGCTGGAGTGGATATCGCAGGCAGATTAATACCTGTGTTGTGGAATGTGAGACGCCAGGACACACTGGCAATGAGAGTTGGCCACAGGAATAATCTGTTGTGTGCGACTGCCTCTAGTGCTACTAATGCTGCTGCTGCTGAGGATTTATGTTTCATGATATACAGAGCGAATCCTGAAAATGTTGTGGTTGTTACTGCATGTTGTTTGGCATGTGCAGCATTTCGCTCCATGTCCATTTACTGGGAACGCATGAATATTCAGTTCTTGAGAAAAACGTGGGAAGCAGTGCTGAACTACAAGCAGCACAACCCGAAAATACATTGCAGAGCTTTACAACGCAACCTAGCACAACTGCACTAAAAAAAAACTTACGCAGTGTTGTTTGCTTCTGCCTGGTCAAAATGCTGGTGGTGGTGGCGATGGTGATACTATTGTGATGGTGGTGGTGACGGCACAGGGGAAGAGCCCTCCCTCCGCTGTGACGAGTGGATCGGCCTCTCCACACGCAGCCAGCCCGTGCCACTCGCCTGCTCGAGAGGGAGCTGTTCCACCTGGGGAGCTGAGCCCAGCCCACCTGCTACCCACGCCCAGCTCCACGCTGGAGAGCCAGGACAGCGGCATCATTGGCAAGGGCGCGCTCGCGAAACGCCGCTCGCACACCCGCGTGTATTTTGCGTCCTGATAACAATCGCGTGCGTCACTCTCACGTGGGCCCACGATTAGCGCGGCTGACAAGTGGTATGGCGCCGTCGTTTTTGTGCTTCACCTTAATGGTGTCGTGATGGTTGCGTTCGTGATTATCCGGAGCTCTGCCAAATGCGCAGACAGATTACGTACACATTGCCATCTTAAACAACTGCAGACGACACAGAGTACCGAGAAATGCAGTGGTTTTGATCACCACCCATGAGTGGAGGATTTCAACGAAAGCCATTTTTTAGTTCACCCAGATGCATCGAATGCGTGTTCTACAGAAAAAGCTCCCAAGAGGAAACATTCGCGCACGTGCAGTCACGCATGCCACATCCCACAAGAGATATTTCACAATCACTCAGAGATGGTCACAGGAGCTTAGGTGGCATGTAAAGTCGGGTCGTGGACACATGACACACATGTGATTTTCACGTGTCTATATTCTCAGGCATGCGCTGCGGTGAAGCTGACTCATGCCCCTGGGTCCACACTCCGTTCTGTGTGTGCGCGCGCCTACACTTGGGGAAAAAAATAACTGTAGGTAAAGGGCAGACTAACATTGACAAATTCAGCTCTCTCGTACTGTATGGAATCGACAGTTTAATATTTTATAGCTTTTAGACTACTTGTAAAAAACAATGGCACCTGCCCTCATAAGGGCCTACTTCCGCAGTGAATGATAACTTCAACCAGTGCATTAATATTCTGCAGTGTCACGAAAAAATAAATTGTTCCTCTGCTCTATGTGCCTACCAAAGGCGCTGTAATTAAAATAAGTCTTGTAAAAGTCGACATAAACATATTAGAGTTTTTAAATTGTGTAACGGTTGTTATGAGCATTGTCATATTGTTTGGAGGTTATTGTTATACTGATACAAAACAATAGGCCTATTGAAAAGGACAAGAGAAAAAGATGTGAGAAATGCATCCTCGAATCGACAGTGCGTGAAGAAACACACATGCTCACGCGCCCTTCAAATATGCGTCATTGTCAACGAGAGAGATTCCAAATGTAATGCGATTTATTGCTGGAAATCTTTAACCAGAGTCCATAACCGTGTGTACCAACGTCAGCCGTACTTGGGCCTTGGTGAACACCACCTACTGTGTTTCCGGTTGCAGCCACAATCACGAGGTCGGGCGGCAGCCTCGAACAGATGGAGGAAGGAAGCCCCCCGGATGACATGGCCGAGTTTGGCCAGCCCGAATCATCAGGTGCTGCTGCTTATGCCGAAAAGGGAAACATTGCAGCCCAGCAAGAGGCCACCCAAGGTTGCCGGTCGAACAGTTACTCGCGCTTGCGTGCCTCGCCTCCTTCGCGCTCATCCGACAGCCTGAGCGTAATGAGCAACGTGCTTCCAAAGGACCGATCCCAGAAACGCAGCTTTTCCCACGACTTCAGCGACGACGAAGAAGACGATGGTGACATGGACGGCACCGAAGTGTGCTCCCTGCTGGGCCTAACGGGGCCCTACGGGGTGGGGGCCGAGGGGGAGCCTCCCCCCTACAGGGCGGCCGCACGTAGGCTGAGCCAGAGCGCCGATCAGGGCCTGGATGTGCCCCCGCCCCCCACCGCCCGCCGCTCGCCGTCCCTGCTCGCCCCGCGACCCAACTCCATCGCAGGTCCGTAACGTTCGCTTGCGTGCACGCGCGCGCGCAGGTACGGCTCGCGCGCACGCGTGTGTGTTTGCGACACTTGAACATGTGGTCATTATCGTCGTTCCGCTCCTTTGCCGTGGAGCCGTGTTTGTCCATTAATGGAGGTTGTTTGAAACATGCTCCGTTTGCCATGCCTACATGATGCATTGCATCAAAATAATGAGGCCGTAGATAATGCCTGCAAGCTGGGAGCGGAATGATTCCATTGGTTCACAGAGTTGCATTTTTTCTGAGTTTTAAGCTTCTTATTTTGCAATTCAAAAGCCCTGCTTTATTATTGGAGTTTTTATATTTTTATCGGTCCTTTACTGAGCTTTATTTTCATATATACTTGCAAAAGAGTTGTCTTTCTGTAAATTTGTCAACAGTAGATCGTCTATATAATTTTTGTTTTATTGTGTAGTTTTTTTAATATGAATGGAAATCTTTTAATATATATCGCAAAACCCCTTTTAGCACACAGCTGTTGTTTATGTGTGCACTGTGGGACCTCGTGTTATTGCACTGCTGCCTCCATGTGGCTAACATGTTTGAAGTCTGAGGATAATACTTTTAGGATGACGGTGCTGTCTGTGGTTTGCATGCGTAGACAACATCGTGGTAAGTATACCTACAGATGTTGGACTTGCTTAATACAAGTATTGGATGAATTTCTGTGTTTTTTGTTGGGGATCTGCTAACTCCACGGTTGCTCGATGTCTTGCAACAGATGTAATTCCTACTTTTAGCCCAGACAATTTCCACCACTTGAATGGATCTGTTCCCAGTCAAAATTCTGCGCAGGTTTATAAGAGTTGTCTGCGATTAAAGCAACGTAAAAAATGTGGTTCGACCAGAAAACGCACATGGAACGTTGCATGGGGATACCTGCACGCCTGTGTACATACCTCTGTGTGTGTGTGTATGCACGTACGGACGGATCGTTCAATAATGAAGACCACTACTTGCGTTCTCGTGATATTTTTGTACATTAGGCAGACATCAAGGCTTAATACAAATCTCTGCAATCTCACGAGTTCACGCTGTTGACACCTAGCAGAGGCAGTGTCTTCGCAGCAGGCTGTCTGTAGTAACGGGACAGAAGGTACAAGATCCCTGACACGCATCGGTGCCATGGGTCTACCCTGCCACCGCTTAATGGGCTCTTGTTCGTTCGCTCCTCTCCTGTGCCACCGAGGCCATGCCTGGGCTCCACCCACTCTTGACCTGACGTTAACCTTCCCGAAGGCTTTAGGCATGCACTATACTCTCATTGTGTGCAGACACAGTGTGATTTACGTATCGGTCTGTGTACGTCAGCTTTATGTTTTTGCACACTGTATACTCGTAAGGTTGTGTGTTTTTATATACGGCGTGTGCACACGCACGCTTGTGAACATGAGACCCGTCCCGGCTTTGCTGAAAGCATTACAGTGAGCTATCACCATGGTGTGCAGTCACTTATTTAACAGATTTGTGCGATGGCAAGCACGATGGTGCCAGCAGCATGGGATTCTTAATCAGTTGGGGTGCACAGCTCTATCTAGGACGCAATGAAGAGTGGAGTGAGAGCGCCACACAGGGCAGACAGTGCCATGCTTTGCGCTGCCAGCGGTAAGACCCAGTTAGCTTGCGCTGACGGCGCCGGCTCACGAGTGCTCCGCTTCTCATGTGCTTTTCGGGACATCGGGGGTCTGAACATTTCGCTACTCATTTAATCAGGACTCAGACATTAACATGGAACTCGGTGGTTACGTGATGGCTTTTGCAGACCCCACCTAGTGAAAAGAATAAAAAAAACCACATCGTTTAACTCGCAGAGCGAGCCCACACTGCAGCGCCCACCCTCAGCCCCCCGCCACTTCCTGCCACGGACGGCGTGACACGCCGATCCGTGGCACGCGGCGTCTGGTCAGACCCGGCCGTGACAGGATGAGGCAAAGGACGCAGCGCTGCTGTCAGAGCGTGCCGCGCTTGAGTTTCGCGCCGCTTTGTTGCCAGCTGTCCATGGCGTCCTGTGAGTCACGCGGGCCAGGGCTGGCTCGCCACACAGCCTGTAGGGCATTCGTGCCTTAATTGTCCTGCACATGGCTGCTTTTGGCAGAGTTAAAGCGAATCAGGTGGTGATGTCATCGCCGGGACAGTACGAGTTCACTCATCCCGGGCACGTGAAGTAACTTGGGTAAGCTAGACCTAGCGCACCACATCGCCGTCCGGCGTAGTGGCATTTCCACCGGTCGCGTCCTGGTTTAAAATGTTGTTTGCGATTACTGGCCATGTGGCGGTGCCGGGAACCACGTGCCCGCCCATAGAGGGCCCAGCTGTGTTGGTAAAGCGATTGCTTCGTGTCTCCGTCGTCTCGGTGTGGAGCGCAGACACAGTCGTGTCTCCGGGGCCTCTATTGCAGAGCCAGGTGGGGAAGTGACGCACAGCAGCTGCTTGCAGGATTAAATTTCAATCGGGCTTATTGCCTTGCCGCGTGCGGATTAAATCTATATACAGTAGAAGGGGAAAAACTTCGGTCATCGAAACGTCAACAAAGACTCACATGGAACGTAAAATACCTTTTCCTTCTGCGTTATTATACGTGAGTGCATTGTTCGTGTAATTTGTGTACAGCACACGTCATCGTTTTGCACAGTGTGACATCTGTGGGAAAAGACAGCGATGCTTTTACAAAACACTGGCTTCATCGTAAAATATATCAACGATGCCTTCGAGGGAGGGCTGCTGAAAATGTGTGGTGATTAGGCTGTGAAACATGATACTAGGAGTGTACCAGCAAGTTTGTCATATTATTTATTTAATTAAAGCTTAGAGCTAACAGCAAAAGTTACACATTTGAGTAAGGTAAGGGTTCTGCTTCCATGGTTCTGTGGCGGCTATGGTTGCGGTTTGTGTGCTTGTGGGCTTGCGTGTGTTAAAAACATGTATCTGCTTGTGAATCTACAGTGAACCAATCCATGAATTTGCTCATGCATTCAGGCGTGTTAATACTTACTGTAGCATGCATGTTCACTTATACATGTGTGAATGCACGCATGGGTTCATCAGCAGTCATCTGCAGATTCAGGAGCTTTAGGTGGAGCAGATGAACGGGACAAAAGCTTCTGAGCTTGTGTGTGCATGCGTGTGTGCACGTGTGTATGTGTACTGGTGGGGAGCGGTAGTGTAGCGGTTAGCGTAGTGTAGCGGTTAGCGCGCTGTGCTATGAACCTGGCAACCTGGGTTCGATTCCCGCTCATGGCCAACGCCAGTGACGATTATCTGAACCGGTCCTGGGCCTCCCCTAGGTCGACTCAGCCTCATGAGTACCTGGTGCGGTGTGTAAACATCGCCACTGGGGAGACAAAGGCGGTCGGGCTTTGTTGCTGGCCACCCACCCCCTTGTGTACCATTCTGGCCTTCATAGGTGCTCGCTGACAGCACTTGCCCCTACAGTCTGTTAAGGCTACACGGGGGATCTTTGTCTTTGTATGTGTACAGCGCCTGCCTTCAATGGTGCGACTTGCTTATGGCACTCGCTCAAACAGTCTGTTAAAGCTACACCGGGGGATCTTTGTCTTTGTGCCAATAGGTGTTCTCGGCGTCACGTGTGTACGTGCGAACGTGCATGTGTTTGCGAGTGCGTATGTGTGTGTGTGTTTGCTCATGCATGTAGCTTTGCTCTGTCGCGTGTGCGCTGCAGCGAGCAGCCTCGCTCGTCTCGAGGATTTGGGCCCACTGGACGAGCCGCGCGGGGAGCCGCTGCACGCCTCCATGAGGACTCCACGCCAGCCCCTGGCGGCCCCACACTCCCAGCCCCTACACAACATGGGTAAGAGGGGCTTTGGTCTCACACGCCCACACTGTGCTTGTATCGGGACTGGGGTACGACGGCCACCCGACCTGTTCATATAGACTTCAGCCATGGCCATGTTTTGCTGCTTTGTTGGTTTTGTTACGCAATTGCTGAGCACAGGCCAGATGGGCCAAAGCATCAAGCGGCCAGCAACATTTAATAGAAATAGTGAACACGTTTCTTGACTTGTGCAAGGTTATGATTGAGCTTGAGAGAGAGGGAAGAAACAGAAAGATAAGTGAAATGGCTTGCAGTGTGGTGGTTGAAAACAGTGTGGATGAGACGGAACGGTCAGTCCCTCCATAGCAGGGATGTCATTGGCCTTTGGGGCATTGCAAATTATTTTAGTTTTAGTGTCAAGTTCTTTATTATTCGCGGTTTCCCAATTTCGAAGGATGAATCTGCCCGAAGGCAGCCCTCCACCGCTCGCGCCTCGCCGTGAGCGCATGCAGGGCTGCACTTCGCCTCGCTTGCAGTTTAGAGGATTGACCCGACACACAGCTGCAGATGCGTAGAGCGGGAGGAACGCGGCGGTGGCCGCCGAGCGTTTGGTGCCTGGCGTCGGAGTGAGCGCGCGCAGACCCCGGGACGGCGAGCTCGCCGTCATTGCCGCCGTTCGCCCGGGACAACCACCGCGCGGGGGGTCGCGGGGCAAGGGGCCCGTTCCGCGTGCGCCATCGCACGCGCAGGGGGGTGTGAGAGTGGCATTGTGCAGAGAGCGCGCAGTGCACCTGGTCGCCCTGGAGCGAGATCGGTGATAGTCGAGTGGAAAAGGGTGCAGGAGAGGGGCGTCTTGCCTCGAGCGTGAGGTGGGCATAAGTGATTAACAGATGAATTAATGACAGCTAACATTTAGTACGGTGAGGTGTCATTACCGATATTTTTTTTCCCACTTGAATAATTCATTATGGGTTTACAGAGCCAAGCCATTTGAAGAAGTCTTATAATAGTTTGATCTTTATTATGCAGCTTACTTACACTCTGGGTAGTATTTATTTTCATGTAGCTGCTGCTTTATGAACGTTTCTTGAATTGTGCATGTTATTGCTGTGCTTTTAAGTTTGGAGTAATGTGTACACATGGGCCATCTTGCAGGAATGTCATTTCTGAATATCACAGGCAGGTGGGGATCCCTGGAGAACTCTCTCTCCAGGGGACAGGAGACTGTAGTCACTCCGCGAGTTTGATTAAAACTCAACGCTCTGGCACTTTCATGGTGCGGCACTCGGGTGCTAAGTGTGGCTAACCGTGGCAGGCGAGGGCTGGACAGATGTGAGGTTGCGACCCCACGTGAAAGCAGAGCTTCCCTGTTGACATGAATGGTGGCGGAAATCACGGTCATAATCCCATTCATCAAATTGCTCGTGTGATGGGCTCCTACGCAGGGTCGGGCCTGGAATGGTTGGGCCCATCGAGTCACTCTGAAACCCGCCAGCCCCCCCCCACCCGTCGTCCCCGGGAGTCCATTACGTCGGCTGGGCTTGTGCCACACCTGTGTTTCCCTCCCAATCCCTTATTGATGGAAGCATATTGGGGTGCTTTAATATGAATGCAGTTTAGGGCACGTCAGTTTTACGTGCCGCCGCGCGTGGAGTTGGACGCTCTCGCTAATACATGCACGATGTTGCCACCTGTCCGTTTTCCTGTCATGCCATGTCCACATTCGGTCGTCCACAGCGGGTCACGGTGCTGCTCGGTGACGATGGCTCGCCCCCCCCCCCTCCACGCTTTCGTCTTGCTCATGCAAATGGCACTGCCATGACGCGACGTCCATTTTCGAACGGTTGGCTGGGAAGCGGGCATCCAAATGTGATTTGCTGGCCGCACGCATTGGTGAAGGTAGCCCTCATGGGAAGAAAAGGACGCGCACCTTTGTGGCCGAGTGAAGGGTGGGAACCGTGCCCCTCCTGTTTACACAGCAGTCCCCCGTTAGCGAGGTTATCGGAGCACTCCGCTATTAATAGCTGCGGACTTCCTGCCTGCTGAGCACGCCTGTGTGATTGTCCTTTCCAGTGCGGTCCGTCGTTTCCCACAGCGAGGGCTCTGCCTTGCAATGCACCGGCCTCTGCCAAACATGCAGCCTGCATGGTCATGGACATTGTCAAGTGTTTCCATATTTCCTACAAAAATTCTACCCGCAACATTAATGGTTTGTGAAAGAAAAAAACAATTGCATGTTTTATTTAAGTGATTTCCCAGTGGATGTTTGGGGATCGGACAGCTGCATGTTTAACTTGTTACCTTTTTCAGCGTGGTTTCCATGGGTTTCAGATTGTTATTCAACAGTCAATGGGGTCATTAAAATTTAAAATGGGACCTGGCTGCTTGGAAAAAGTTGACGTGATATTTAAGTGGCTTTTAAAATTTTAAACAGGTTTCAAGCAGGTTTGTTTGTTGTGTGTTTGTTTGGCGTTGCTCCGTTTCATTTTGGAAATAGGCCCTGAAGCATAAATGCATGTTTGCTGTGGCACCAGGCACCAACCGGTATTTGTTTAACTTGTGTGACGAGGAGAACTTGCAATTTGTATTCATGATGATGCCTGCCAGGGGCCACGGGATCATTTGTAATATCCTCGCTGGGCATTTCAAGCCCAGGTTCTGTATCCATCCTTGCCACAATCCCCACACATACGGAAGCAGATCTGCAGTTTTGATCGTGGTTCTCGGGGAGACGTCCGTCACGCGTGGAGCGCTCTGAGCGTGACGGCTGCCACCCCAACGGTGTGCACGCTTCGTCGTGCTTTGTGTCCCCGCAGCGGCGCGCCTTCCCTCCTGCAAGCCAGTCGACGCTGCCCTCAAGCCGCTGCCCTTTGAGCTGCCGAGCGTGGCGGGCGAGGTTTCCTTCGTTGGGCGAGAATGGCTCTTCCGTGAGCTGGAGCTCCGGCTGGGAGGTCGGGTATCGGGCGGCGGCAGCGGCAGAAGCAGCATCGGTGGCAGTGGAGGAGTTTTCATTGTCGGGGGCGTTGGGTCTGGGAAAACGGCGATTGTGGCTCGTTTGGTGCGACTTAGCTGCCACGGGGAGACAGCTGCATCTCGGAGTAAGTGGCAGACACGAGCGTGCGCCCTACTTGTCCAGCGTGTCTGTAAACAGGCCCTTACTTTTTAGGCAGGGCAACACAGTCCAAATGTGTGTTCTTTCCCGTATATAATTGTGTAGCTATTTGAGCATATTTTCATTATTACAGTGGTTTTTTTTTATTATTTACGGTTATTTCATTGTTATTTCAATTACCAACCAAACGTTTGACATGTAATTCGCTTTAGACTTCACAGAACGTGCTGTTCACTTTTGTATTAAAATGTACATGACAATATAATGGACCCTCTTCCGTGTAACACATTTGCAGATGTTGATGAGGGGAGGGAACGGACTGGACCCGCCTGCCGGGGAGGCAACAGCAGCTACAACCCCGCACAGCATCTGAGGAGCGACGATCCCGCCAGAAGGCTAGCAGCCAAGGTGTGTGCGCTCGAGTGCGTGCGTGGGTTTATTGATTTTGCACTTCGTGTGGGTGCCTGTATTGTGTACTAAGTTTCTATTCTAGAGGGGGCGACTTTATGCGTGGGAAAGACTTCTTGTTTTAAGCGCCAGCACTGTAACGATGCCACAAAACCGTTCTCGTATTAAAAAAGGAAAGTCAGTTTTGAGGGAAGAATAAACTGGAAGTGAAAGCTTAGTTTGAAGCGACTCCCGGTTACTCTCACGCCGAGGTGTGAAATGGGGCCGGCCGCTGACCCGTCGCGGTGCACCGTGTTTCAGGTGGTGGCCTATCACTACTGCCAGTCGGACCGCGCGAGCACGTGCTTGGTGCCCGAGTTCGTGCACAGCGTGGCGGCGCTGCTGTGCCGGGCGCCGCAGCTGGCAGTGTACCGCGAGCTGGTGGCGCGCTCGCCCGAGCTGCAGACGGCGCTGTCCATGCGCTCCTGCGTGCAGGAGCCCGGGGCGGCGCTGCGCCTCGGAGTCCTCCAACCGCTGTCCACCCTACGCAAGGGTGAGTGCCGCCCAGCTGCCTGGGAGCACGAGCAGTGGTGAAGGGGGGGGGGGGGTCAAGATAAAGGGGGTAAAGGCGCAACCCTGCAATTGCTTGTTGGCGTCACTGCTGGTGGAAGGGCCTCGAGAGGGGCCTCTCGAGGGCCAGCTACAAAAAATGTTTGGTCGTCAGTTCCACGCTGGTCAGATGTGTGCGGAAGAGGTGGCGGTGTCCGCACTTTACCCCACCACACGCGGCCTGCCGATTGACTCGCTGCGGTGTACCTACTTATGCTGTTGAGTAGACAGGGGTGTGGAGATTTTTAATAAAAATTGCCCCATTGCTTCAAGTGATGCACCTGGAGAAGGAACCGGAGACCTCTGGATCTCGGGTGCAGTGTGTTGACTAAATCGCTCCACACCCCAAGGCTGTGTTGGGAACAGTACTCATCATCTCCACGCGGTCCCAGATGATGCTTTTTCTGCTCTTGATGGAGACATCGTAAAGATGCACCCAATAAAGGGCAATTCCTTGAACATGTTACGCCCATTATGGCAGAAGCGATTGCATTTTTTATTATTTGTATTCTTTGCAACTTTATGTACACGGCGATCATTGTACATTTCACGGGATTATGATATCCATACCTGTTGACAACTTGTTTGGGGAATCGCCGTATACCGAATATTATTATATATACAGTGGCAATAATGAACAATCTCATCGCTCATCTCTCAACGGAAGGGTCATTTGTGCTCGACGTACAGGAAGGGGGTTAACCTCGAGGGGTTTGTAGCTATTCTGGGGCCGGTGCCACAGGCGTGAGGAAGCCTTTGTGTCGCCGTCCGGCGAGGTGAGTCCTCCCGCTTCATGCCCAGCCTGTCCCGCCTGCGCTCTACAGCGCCCACAGACATTGACTAAACAATTTCACGCCGAGTTAACCTGGGGGGCAGGATTGGAACAGAAGCCAATTCAAATTGTTATTTGCGGCCGGCTTTAGTGCAGTCTGAGAAGAGAGATTGGGGGTTGGTATGAAGCAGTCCATGGCATGACGGGGAGGGAGGATGGGGGAAAAAGGAAATGGTCGTGCACACATGTTCCACGGTTATCGGCTCCGATGCGGCCAGGGACCGTTTAATTTCACCGTAGATGCTCATTGAAGGTCTCTTGGTTAAAAGCGAGAGATTTGTGCACATTTGTGAGGAGGAACTGGCAGAGCCAACGCAGGCTTGAACACAACGTTAACGTACTAGATTTGAAGCTTTCGTGACTGCAAGGATCCATACTCTTTGGTTCTATTCGGTAAAGTCACGTAGGTAAAAATAAAATAACAAAAATCACGACGTTTCGGCCACAACACAAGTGGCCTTCATCAGGTGAAGGGACCGGACTGTCCAGAAGACAGCCAGGCCCAGGTCGCGTCCTTTAAGCTGTGTGGGAGGAAACAAAACGTTAACGTGTATTTTTTTTCCCATTAGCATTTTGCTCATAGATTGTAATGTGGAATTTAAAGGCAAAGGAATATCAATTCTGGGTATAGAGTGTCGAGCAACAGAGAGAGCAGGCAGGAGGTGGGCCAAGCCCCACACACGTATGTTTCATTGTCCCCTGGGTGTGAAGTGAATTCACTTTAAATACCTCTCATGACACTAGTACATACACAATGCCAGCAAAAAATACTCGATAATCCAGAGGTCATTCCTGACACAAATGGCTGATGTATGTAAAAATCATGATTCTTTATATTACATACAACTCCCATAATGTATGTATTGTACTTTTTGACCTTTAAATGTCAAATGCTGAAGGTTGTTATTTTGCCATTAATAGAGGCAATGGCAGCTATAATAGGCTCGCTGATGCTGATGTGAATTACTCTTCGGGAATTGACTTGCAGCCATTGCCACCTACATGGTTCACCTTGATTTCCGTAATTGCTTTACCAATGGCAAAATGATTTTAACAGTGAGTAAAAAACATCTAATCGCCATAGCTGTTAGGCGTCCAATTGTATTGACTGGCCTTCGCAACACTCAGCTTGGTTGGAGACATTGAGAGTGTTTCAAAAGGCTCAATTCTTTACGAAGGGAGAAGTACATGCACTCGCACCCACATTCACAAAAACAAAGACCTCCCCCCATATAGCTTTCAATAGACTGTTGGGGCAAGTGCTGTTAGTGAGCACCTACCAAGGATTGCATGGCACATGAGGGGGTGGGTGGCCAGCCCCCACGCTGTCCACCTTTGTCTCCCCAGTAGCGATGTTGACACATCGCAACAGATACTCATTTGAGGCTGAGTCGATCTAGGGAAGGAGGCCCAGGACCGGTTCGGATAATTGTCACCGGTTTGGCCGTGAGCGGGAATCGACCTCGGATCGCCGGTTTCGTAGCGCAGCGCGCCAGCCGTTACACCACCGCACTCCACATGGCTGTGAGCACACACACTCACATCTACACACACTCACATACGAGCCTGCCAGGGTTGCCACTGGACTGGCGAGTAGACTGATTGTGTCTGCATTGGAGCTCGTGTGCATTTAAGTACAAGACGCTTATGTAAGATACAGCAAAGGAACCGCATGGCTCCTTATCTCAGAGACACTGGACTGCACTTAACCGTGTTATAGGAACACATGGGATATGTGAAAACGAGTGGGAATTACATCACATTGTATTGTATAGTATGGGTCTCTATGTGACTGTGTGGGTCTCTGGGCCTTAATGTTCAGTTTTATATGGCGCAGTGAATGCTAATTGGATCTCACAGTTGCTGAGGTACCACAGACAAGCTAGAAGGCAGCCAGGTGGTGATCTGCCGCAAACAATTGCCCAAGCTCTGAAGTCCTCGATAGTCTGAGATCTTTTCATCCAATTAATGGATGTTTATACATGTGGGCGGAATCTTAGAGTACCCAGAGAAAACCCATACGTGCGAGGGGGCAATGCTCTTATCCCATAAAGAAGCAACAGATGAGATTAGTCCGCACTTCGCTGTACCACATTCTCCTGGCAAGCCAGGTTATGGCACCACCATGCCCACTGGAAGGGAGTTTTGTAACATTTTTGCGATCCACCAACCCTTGCCTCCACGGTGCTGGATTACAGGCATGCGCCTCCACCGCCAAATGGAGTCCATGGGTCTCTGTGCGAGTCTATGCAAGTCTAATTCTGACTGCTGTGCAGTGCAATCCATGGCTCACATCGCCCAACCAATGCTCAGTGCTACAACATTTTCAGGGAGTAACATGTGGAATCCATCTGGTGACCCCGGGCGCCATCAAATGGCTTTCCCAGCTCAACATATACATTTCTCGTATGTCCATGTGCGCGTGGTCACCGTGCTTGGCACCAGACGGGAAGCTGGCAGACAGGGACATGCTGCTGCTGGTGGACGGGCTGCACGAGGCCGAATTCCACAAGCCCGACCACGGCGACACCATCGCCTCCTTCCTGGCCGTGCACCTGGCCGCGTTCCCCCCACGCCTCAAGCTGGTGCTCACCGTCCGCACGGCCAGCCAGGTCCGCCCCATGGCACGCAGCGCCCCACCAACGCCCACCGCCCCACCAATACCCACCGCCCCACCAATACCCACCGCCCCACCAATACCCACCGCCCCACCAATTCCCACCGCCCCACCAATACCCACCGCCCCACCAATACCCACCGCCCCACCAATACCCACCGCCCCACCAATACCCACCGCCCCACCAATACCCACCGCCCCACCAATACCCACCGCCCCACCAATACCCACCGCCCCACCAATACCCACCGCCCCACCAATACCCACCGCCCCACCAATACCCACCGCCCCACCAATTCCCACCGCTCAACCCAAATACACCGCTTGCTATAGACACGCGAATGTGGCCTCTCGGGAAATTGGAATATTCCATTTTATCCTCACTTCCTGATTAAATATTTATAACACGTTAATTTGTGCGTATATTTATTATGTATGAGCTAATGTAGAATTTAACGAATACGTGTGCCACTTAAAAATAAATGTTTTTGTGAAATCTAGTTATAAGCAATTATTGCCCTTTTTTAAATTACTTTGAAAGGTACACGTTAGCTGCCACAGGGATGTTTAGTGCAGACAACTGCTTGCGAGTACAAACGTCTTGCTCCATAAGCATGACTTAATTTTTCACTGTTTTTACCAAACCTCACACACGCTCCGTCCGTCTCGTGTTTACCTTCGTCCACTTCTCCACAGGATGTGACGGCGCAGCTGCCGTTCCCGGAGATCCTTTTGGACCCAGGCCTGGGCGGCCCCGCGAGGGCCCCCGAGGTGGCAGGGCCCGAGGACGACCTGTGCAGCTACGCGGTGCGCCGCGTGAGCGGAGGCTGCCAGACGCAGACCGGGGTGTGGCAGGCGTGGAGGCCCCCAGGCCCGGACGGCGCCGAGATGACCCAGATGGCCGACATGGCCCCACGCCTCGCGGCGATGGCGCATGGCTGCTTCCTCTACCTCCGTCTGGCCCTCGACCTGGTCAAGCAGGGAAATCTGTCGCTCACGGGGCCTGGGTCAAAGGTCAGAGTGATCACTGACCCCTATGTGTACAATTTACTGGCAGTGTTCTCAGCCAGTTTATTGAAATGGTTTTAATTATTACTTCTTTGCTGATAATTTTTGCAACACAGCAACGATAGCCACGGTGGCGAGATGTTAACTACCTCACCTGGTAGACAAGAGGTTGGAGGTTTGATCCCAACCCTGACACCTACTGTATATTTGGAGTTTGCTTGTCACTCTCCCCGTGGTCGTGTGGATTTTTCTCCGGGCCTGGTTTTTCCCTCCATTTATGAACACGCGTTTAGAGTAATTGGCTGCTACAAATTTCCACGTGATAAGCCACTTCATGGAGCTATCATTTGTGACCAGGTCGCTTCAAAAAATGAGATACATAGCTCATTGGGCCTTACCTGATAAAATAAAACGACAGTTGATATGTTAGGGGCGCGATAGTTTTGTACTATCGCCATTTTCTACCAAATTATTTAGAGAGCGCAGTTTTAGGATGCAGTGTATTTCTAAGCGGGGTGTAGCACTGAGCTTGGTACCTGGCACCTGTGATCATTTCCTGGCCACAGCTAACAACAATGGCGAGTGATATCTTCCAGCCTGCACTGACCAGCATGGTGAAGTATGGTCAAACAACCCCCAACAACCAACACGGGATGGGGAGTCCTACATACAGCAGTGGATTGTCAAAGGACTCTAAACAATAAATGATAAAGTACCTTTGCAAATGACTTTTCGTCTTGGTGAGGACACATACGCTCTAACCAGCACGCCTCAACATTCGTCCCTGTGCCCGTTTTCAGGAGCTGCCGTGCTCCCTGTCGGAGCTCTTTGAGCTACAGTGCAACGCGCTCTTCCCAAAGCGGGCGGACTTCATGCGCGTCCTCCCCCTCCTCAACGTGGCACTGGCATCCCTGCAGCCCCTTAGCGAGGCGCAGCTACTCCAGGCGCTGCGCGCCGGCCACGTGGGCCTGCCGCCCCCCGGCAGCCCCGCCGCCGACTTCCCGGCCGTCTTGGAGAAGGTGTCGCCGCTGCTGCCGCGTCTCGCTGACGGCACCCGCATGTTCCGACACCCGGCACTGCGCGAGTGGCTCGCCTGGAGGCAGGATGGCAAGAGCAAAAGGTTCCTCTGTGAACCCAGGTATGCGGCTCTCTGGCGGCATGCTCGTGTGCGTGCGCGTGTGTGTGTGTGAGCGAGCGTGTGAGCGCTACGCTGCTGTTTGTACGGTCCGTAGTGGGTAAGCGTGTTCGCATGACCAAGCACTGGTGAGCGTAGTTACGACAAGAAGATTGAAACAAATGTGCTTCTTTCCTAGTGTTCAAATCCAATCAATCCTTCAGCAAGTTGGCTATGGTCTCTGTTCACCTAGTAGTAAAACAAGATTTACAGCTGCACATTGCCTAAAGTCTATTTGAAGAGAGATATATATACTGGTTTACTGCTTGTGTGGTAATGTGTGGATGCCCTAACATTTCAACAAATATGAACAAAAGACAATTGGCTCTCTGAATAAAGAGACCCTGCCTGAAATAATGTGAGCAATTTGTGCGATGCATGTCGCTACCTTCACCTCCGTGATTAATGGTCTGTACCAGGCATGTTCCACTACATCAGCACCGACATGCACAGGGGTTGAGTGTTAATTGTCGAGAACAGTCGATCACTTGGGGTGAACGGAGGCTCGCCTTTCCCCCCCCCCCCACCATGGGCGTCTGGATCTGCCACTACACAGGACCCATCACTCTCTGAGTGGATGTAGAAAAAACAGTAAGCATGTGCTTTCGGTTATTAGCACATTATGCTGTTTTATGCAGATATTGCAATAAATAAAGCGTACATTTGACTGCTTCCTGGCATTGCGACTTTTTTTTTTACAATGCACAATAACTTCTACAAATGATGGGGTGACACATAGAGTCCTTGGGCATATAGGGGTGTATTTAATTGAAATGACTAACACTTTTGTTTTTGTTTGTGTGTGTGTGTGCGCTCGTGTTTGCATGTGCGCGTGTATATTTGGTCAGGAGTGGGCACGCACTGCTCGCCATGGCTCTGTCACGTCAGGGCGGCACGCTAAGTCCAGAGCAAACCTTGGAGCTGGGACACCACATCCTCAAAGCACATATCTACAAGGCGAGTCTTCCACCCACCCTCCCCGAACACACCCACACCAGTACCGATCCCTTTCCCTTTCCACGGTGCTATCTATAATTCATATCCTGAACCTTTCTCTTAAGCCAAAACATTTTGTTTCACCGAACAAACTACACTGATGAGTGATGTTGCCATTGTGTGCTTGCCGTACGTGGCTGAGCATCTCGGGTAGCTGGTGTCACATCACAGCGCTGGACCTTTTGCAGCTGTGTAGAATTCGCAGCCGATTGTTTGGACGATTAATGTTGCACGTGTGTTATTTATACTGTATTTTATTTAGCTAAGAAACATGTTTTTCAGATCTTGGTTGATTTTAATGGCTGCATTATTTATTTTCCTACCCCAAGATATTCTAAACCATACTTTCTTTGCACCCTCAAGTTGCCCTTGCAAAAAGAGGCATTTGCCCCAGTGGCTGTTGCCTGGTTACAATGTAAAGTTGATATGTGTGTGCGCGCGCGTGCATGCAGGGTCTCAGTAAGCGACCAGGCATCTCGTCCAGTGTGCTACAAGCCTTGTGGGTGGCGCACAGCACCGATGGCCTTTCGGCAGCCCTTACCTCCCTTCGCAACCTCTACACACCCAACATCAAGGTGTGCCCCCATCCACAATCATTACAATTACCGTGGACCCCATCGGTGAGCTGAAATTCTTCTTACCTATAAATGTCATTGTTTGTCTGTGTGTGGGTGGCCGAAACTTGCGAAGGATTTGGCTCACAAACCGTGGGGTTTACATTTTAAAAAAGTATCCAGGTACCACGCCATATGGCCCGTGCTGAGCCAGCGCTATTCCGATTTCATGTCCGTCACAATTAAAGTAGTTTAATGAGCGATTTAGTGCTGTTTTTTGGTTATTTATTCATGAGCTAGCGCATGCTCGACCCTACCAACTCATACACGTTCGGTGGGGGGGGGGGGGGGGGGGGGGGGGGGGGAGGGCCCCTACCAAGTCACACGTGTTCGGTGGGGTGAGGGGGGAATTCTCTTTCGCGTGGACACTGTGCAAGGTAACACACACAGATTTACAGCTCCCTTCAAACATTTATTACCATTTAACACGTAGGCTTTGGCAACCAATATTATTCATTATAAAGGTTTTTGGGTTAGATTGCGTTATTTATAAATGTGTCGTAACCCTCCACCACCCGACACGGCCAAACAGTAAAAAATGTGTCACGTTTACAAAGGACAAATAGTTCACTACTTTAGCCCACCGGTGTGTTGAAGAGTGAAGCAACATCATTTAAAATTTGAGTACGACGTTTCGCTGGTAATTACATCCAGCATCATCGGGCAATTCGCCAGAATGGTAAAGCCCTCACTTGCTCCCGGTCTTAAATAGAGCAGCAGGGTGACGTCATGATTTAACTCATTCAGGTGCAGTGATTTGAGGCGGAGGGGGGGTATTGTAAGTATATAATCGATTGGTAATCAGTCAATGGTTATGATTAGCAATGAGTTGTTGATTAGTAATCAGTTGTAATGTGTGTTATTGTGATTATATGCTACGTTAGTAATCCGTTAATTAGTATGCGTTTCCCCTATAAGGAATTGTAGTATGTATTATTTAATAATACGCTTCCAAGCCGCACTAAGCCTGTAGCTGTCAGAGCAATTAACGTTATTTCTATTTCTCTCAATTTCAATAGATTCTCTAATTAGTCTTTGCCAGTAATAATTCGTTTTACACAATACTTCAACGTTATCAAAATCAATTTAGTGTCCTTGTTGAAGAGCATGTTCTGCCACTGCCGACAGTTGTTTGAGATAATTTAATATTTCTTTGGTGTTCTTTTAGTCTTATGCTGATGTTACGTCCCGTCTGTCCAATATAGCATCTGTCACATAAACAATTAATCCGATATACACCTTCTGTTGATAATTTAGGTAATTTGTCTTTAGTGCAGGATACTAGGTTTTTAATTTTGTGTACTGTACCAAATCTTACTGTAATGTTTTGTTTTTGCAAAACACGGGCTAATTTGTCAGTTACTCCTGAGATATATGGAGTTTTAATTGTTTTAACAATCTTATCGCTTTCAGCAGTGTTGCTTTGCGATTGTGATTTGGCATTCAGTGCTCTGTTAATTTGAGTATTATTGTAGCCATTCTGTCGTAATGCTTCTTTAACGTGTTTGATATCTCCCACTAGACTTTCACCATCTGACACTGTTTTAGCCCCATGTACGAGCGTCTTGATAAGAGAGGATTTCTGAGCTGGATGATGCGAATCTACATTCAGATAGGCATCAGTGTGCGTTTGCTTTCTGTAAACGCTGTGTGTTATTTTACCGTTTAGGCTATGTCCAAGCAAAATATCTAGGAACGGGAGTGTGTTATTCACCTCCATTTCCATGGTGAACTGGATGGCCGGGTTTTGTGCATTGAGATGATTTAGAAAATCATTAAGTGTATCTTTACCATGTGGCCAGACAACCAAAGTGTCATCCACATATCTAAACCTAATAGATGGTTTTAATGTGCTCGAGGCAAGTGCTCTTACTTCAAAGTTTTCCATGTACAGATTTGCTATAGCAGGAGATAAAGGAGAGCCCATTGCTGCTCCTTCCTTTTGTTTAAAGAAATCCCCTCTCCATAAGAAGTAAGTGTTATTTAAACAATGGTCAGCAAGTTTTGGAATATCTTTTGGTAAACCTGTATTCTTTACTAGTGTATCAAGTAATTTAAGTGAGTCGTTCACTGGAACCTTAGTGAATAGAGAAATCACATCAAAACTTACCAGAATATCATTAGGATTAAGTTTAATATCTTTAATCACATTCACAAGATGTTCTGAATTTCTTATGAATGAAGATGTCCTACCGATGTAGGGCTGTATTTGTTTAGTTATATATTTTGCTAATTTATATGTGGCAGAGCCAATTGTACTGACTATGGATCGTAATGGGATGCCGATTTTATGAATCTTTGGTAGCCCATACAGTCTAGGTGGTTTTGAGGCCCTTGGCTTTATTTTGGTATTGCTCATTCTTAGGGATTAATGAATTTGCAATTATTGCAGTAGTCTTACGTTCTAAAGTATTAGTTGGATCTCGTTTCATTTTAATGTAGGTACTTTCCTCTAGTAAATTTCTAATTTTATTATAATAATCGGCTCGTGACATCACTACAGTAGTGTGGCCTTTATCAGCTGCCAGGATTTGGAGATCTTTATTTACACGGAGCTCTCTTGAGGCTTTTGCTTCGTTAAAGCTAATATTTACTTTTGGAACTTTGCTATTCTCAATTATTTTGGCAACCTCGTGTCTAGTCATCTCTGCCTCATTATGTAGAAGGAGTCTTACTGCTGATTCTACCTCAGCAATTATCTCATCCACTGGAATTGTGCGTGGGGTAACGGCAAAGTTAAGCCTTTAGAAAGGACAGAGATCATGTCACTGGTTAAAACAGTGTTAGTCAAGTTCATTACGGTTTTGTTTTTAAATTGTTCGGCTTAGTAGGGATTTGTTTATTATGAAGTCTAGAAAATTTATTCATTTGGTTAGTTTTTGTTAGATTAAACACATTATCAGCCGATTTCTGTGTTATGGTATCGATTATATTCCAATAATGCATGGATACACTATTTATAAATAACGTGATCTAACCCAAAAACCTTTATTATGAATAATATTGGTCGCAAAAGCCTACGTGTTAAACTGACTAACCTCAATGGGGAGGATACCTTTCTTAAAACCAGAAAGTTGGAGAAGCTTCGCATTAAGCGAATTAAATTGATATCTTCACTGGCATTCCTCAAAAGGTGTAGAGATTCAAAGGTAATACCAAACGCAGTTAAAATAACACATCACATAAAGGCTGCTAAAGCTAAACAAATACTACATAGAGCTAGCGAATGATTATTAATAGAGAGAATACAGCACAACAGGAGTGAATTATCTTACATTTCGGAATTGCTAAAGCAGTTACACTTAGATATAAGCAATAGTGTATCCATGCATTATTGGAATATAATCGATACCATAATACAACAATCGGCTGATAATGTGTTTAATCTAACAAAAAACTAACCAAATGAATACATTTTCTAGATGTCATAATAAACAAATCCATACTAAAAATGAACAAGTAAAAAACAAAACCGTAATGAACTTGACTAACACTGTTTTAACCAGTGACATGATCACTGTCCTTTCTAAAGGCCTTAACTTTGCCGTTACCCCACGCACAATAAGAGAGCTCCGTGTAAATAAAGATATCCAAATCTTGGCAGCTGATAAAGGCCGCACTACTGTAGTGATGTCACAAGCCGATTATTATAATAAAATTAGAAATTTACTAGAGGAAAGTACCTACATTAAAATTAAATGAGATCCAACTAATACTTTAGAACGTAAGACTACTGCAATAATTGCAAATTCATTAATCCCTAAGAATGAGCAATACCAAATTAAGCCAAGGGCCTCAAAACCACCTAGACTGTATGGGCTACCAAAGATTCATAAAATCAGCATCCCATTACGACCCATAGTCAGTCCAATTGGCTCTGCCACATAATATATAACTAAACAAATACAGCCCTACATCAGTAGGACATCTTCATTCATAAGAAATTCAAAACATCTTGTGATTGTGATTAAAGATATTAAACTTAATCCTAATGATATTCTGGTAAGTTTTGATGTGATTTCTCTATTCACTAAGGTTCCAGTGAACGAATCTCTTAAATTACTTGATACACTAGTAAAGAATACAGGTTTACCAAAAGATATTCCGAAACTTGCTGACCATTGTTTCAATAACACTTACTTCTTATAAAGGAGGGGATTTCTTTAAACAAAAGGAAGGAGCAGCAATGGGCTCTCCTTTATGCCCTGCTATAGCAAATCTGTACATGGAAAACTTTGAAATAAGAGCACTTGCCTCAAGCACATTTTAACCATCTTTTTGGTTTAGATATGTGGATGACACTTTGGTTGTCTGGCCACATGGTAAAGATACACTTAATGATTTTCTAAATCATCTCAATGCACAAAACCTGGCCATCCAGTTCACCATGGAAATGGAGGTGAATAACACACTCCCGTTCCTAGATATTTTGCTTGGACATGGCCTAAAGGGTAAAATAACACACAGCGTTTACAGAAAGCAAATGCACACTGATGCCTATCTGAATGCAGATTCGCATCATCCAGCTCAGAAATCCTCTCTTATCAAGACGCTCATACATCGGGCTAAACAGTGTCAGATGGTGAAAGTCTAGTGTGAGAGATCAAACACGTTAAAGAAGCATTACGACAGAATGGCTACAATCAAATTAACAGAGCACTGAATGCCAAATCACGATCGCAAAGCAACACTACTGAAAGCGATACGATTGTTAAAACAATTAAAATTCCATATATCTCAGGAGTAACTGACAAATTAGTCTGTGTTTTTTGCAAAAACAACACATTACAGTAAGATTTGGTACAGTACACAAAATTCAAAACCTAGTATCTTGCACTAAAGACGAATTACCTAAATTATCAACAGAAGGTGTATATCGGATTAACTGTTTATGTGGCAGATGCTATATTGGACAGACGGAACGTAACATCAGCATAAGACTAAAAGAACACCAAAGAAAT